ATCTGCAATACTAAAATAGAAAAATTGTTTTGCAAAAACTCTGTAGGAGACACACAAGCCACAATCCACAAGGAAGGGATAACAGCAGCTAAAAGGCATTTCAGATGTACATATTCTGCATTTTTTGCAGAGATCCAGATGACCACTGCTGTAAGTCAGACTGTCCTCCCTATGTTACAACTGTTTTGCAGACTAGAATCTTCCTAAAACRGAGCATGTTGCCCATGCAGATACCCTCTGTCTCAAAAACTGTGAAAAGTAACRAAATGGTCTGCACAGGTTCACTGGAAATTTATATTATGAAGAAAAATTCTCCCTTGTCAAACAGTAACTCATTTCTAGCTCCTATACAATGCCAGGCAGAGGCAACTCAAATCCTGCAGAAATTATAACAATCACAAGTTACTCTGACTTGTGCTGATCATCTTAACTTGATGTTCAGATGCCACAATCAAATAATTCAGAACCACCAACAGTAACTTAACCTAGAGGTTAAGCCAGCTTTCAGTGTCATTTTTTTATTGCTTGAAGGTATAAAATTGGAACAGAATCTTATTTCTATCTTCCAAGCTGATAAATATGCAAAACAGAAAAAAGTWACCACAGCTTTGTATTGTAATATCATGGGAGGTTTGAAGATTAACATACCAAATGAATTTGCATACTATACATAATTTATTATGTTTTGGGCACCTATATTTAGTCAAACCATACTCTTTTAGGAAAGACTAATTTATAATCAAAATGTCAGCTTTTGTTTTTGTTGTTGTTGTTGTTAAAACAGCCCAATGCCACAAGATCAAGAATTCAGAAGGGAACTGGTCTGCTCTTCAAAACTAGACATCCAAGCACTAGATTAGCACGGTAGATCTGAGGTAAAAATCACGTCAGTAAGAAAATAACATGATAATTGTCCCACTGAGAGCTAAACAGATTAATTAGACTACAGTTAAACAAAATGCACTTGATTAATCTCTGATTATGTCTTCACTGAAGTCACACTATAAATTATTCTTTAGATGATATCAAACCAGAAACACAGATCAAAGGCTCCTGAAGGGTAGCATTCCTCTGAACATACATAATTTAATAAGAACTAAGCATGTTCTTATATTTCATACATACGCACCAAAATGCTATGTTAGATTTGACAATGCAAGCAGTAATGTGATTTTAAGACAGATCTGGATTTGACAGAATAGTCTCCAAGGAACACTAACTCAGTGATTCTCAGCTATTTTCAAATGGTTACTCATAAAATGAGATACTGCTCACTCCCTTGTTTCTGTGAACCTTTTTCCAAGAATGTAGAGGGAGGGTCAAAACAGAGATGACTTCATTAAAGGTCACTGTTCAATAGTGAGTCACTTTTGGTCACAAAAAAAAAAAAGTGCTGTCTTACCAATTCTAACCTTCCCAAACCATATGCTAGGCAGTGCTACGGTTGGTGAGAGCAGGAGGTGTTAGAAGTGGGATGAGCACATATTTGAGTTAGAAAAGGCAAAAACAAAAGTAGTCAAGAAAAAATGTCCTTTTTTCCCCCCTTSTTTTCATAGACAACTGTTGATTTGAGTCTTAAACACTATACATATATATATATATATATACACCTATACATACACATATAATTTTTAACTTTCATAACCTATTTGGTATCTCAGGATATTCTCAGGACCTTGTCCGATTTCATTATAAACAACTATGGTTTGAAGAGACACAACCTCAATTCTGCTTTATGATACTGTTTCACAAACAAAACTTTTTGGAGCCACAAAACCTCCAAACAAACAAAAAAAACACTCTGCAGACACATTTCTCAAGGACACTGACATTCTCTTCTCAAAGGAACTGACATTACAACCAGTCAGCAAGATATTTGTAGATCTGGAAAATACCTGTCACCTTTTAAATCTGTGCCCAATGACTTCATGTTATATTGTGATGGTAACTTCTCAATGTTTCTCATTATATTTTTAGATACAGTTGCAAAACTAACAGATTTTTTAAAATTCTCATCTTTTCCTTCTTTCAATACATAACTTCCTCAGAAGGAGCTCAAATTTCAAGATGCTATCTGCATGAGCCAGTCATAGAAATAGACTTGTAGTGCTGCATCCTAAATTTTCACATCTTTTGCAATGGTTATTAGATAAACCTTTGTTATTTTTAGGTCTCTCTTTTGGGTTTTCATACCCTTAACATGTAAAAAGCTGTGGTTCAGCAAAAAGTACTAGCACACAGTTGCCAGTGTAATACTATTTCCATCATATCAAATATGAGCTTACAAAAGGTATGTTTATTTAGGGAAATTTCAAAGCTGACAGAAAATAAAAAAAAAAAAAGAAGGGGTTTTAACTATCCCAGTGAAACATACAATGCAAGCCTTAATCATGAAAGTAAGGAAATTTAAAATATCCTTGAAAATTAAGGCAAAAGTAGGGAGTTTCCCTTCAGTTAATTAAAACTGTTCAGGTATAAACAGATTACAAAAAAGAAGCTCACAGTAACAAAAGCCACAGTAAAAAAAAAAAAAGTTTGGAAATGAAAAATATTTTACTTACTGAATATATGATATTGAGATGACTGTACTGTTTTAACATCCTGTCTTCCTAGTGGGGTAGCTGCACCCAAGTCAGCTTTGAACAAGCTAGTTTATGTATTGGTAGACAGCTAGTTATGGTATGTGGAACGCCACCTGGATTAATTAATCCTGACTAATTGATTTATGAAATCAACACGGCTGTAGTGACTGTGACTTTTGTCTCTTTCAGGCTTGATTACAACTCTATCTAGGAATGGAGACTCCTGCTCTGAAAAATCTTCCAGAGACAAAACATCCTGTAGCACAGATCATTATTCCTGTGTCTTCTTGAGAACAAAACTAAAACCATGTTCTCTCTTCTGATGCTCATAAATCTCTGCCTTAACTCTATCTACTTGAGAGACTTGCACCTTCCATCACTGCTCATACTCTTTTCTGCATCAAGTTTGAGAGCTTCCCATCCCCTTTCCTCTGCAAGCACATCTATTTGTCTGAATGTTTCCTATCTCCTTTTAATCAAGATGAGCAAAGTTAGCTTAAATAATTTGGATAGCAATTTTTTTTTCTAAAATTCTGAAGACTGGAAGGAACGGGTACTACTCTGAGCTTTTTTCCCCTCAAAAAATAACCATTTCATCCAAGTGTCATGTTCCAGAAAAGTCATTGTCAGCAAGCAATAGTTTATCAGATCTGCATTCCTAATTTTGATAACTTGGATGTACTAAAATAGAAGACAAGCTTCAAGCTCCACATTTTGGTGTAAAAAAAGTGCCTTGGCTACATTCAAGAAAAGTATCACTGTGGAATTTTCATAATACCATTCCCCTTACTGGAGTGTTCCAACGCTAACCCAGGAACAACCTTTTCTAACACTCAGTTTGCCTAATACATAGGTAACACTAGTTACAAAGCACCCTGGAARGAAGCAGGGAGTTAACAAATGTGTGCAAAGCTCTCTCATAATTATACTTAAATGTGAGAAGCCTACCCGATGAAAGCTCCTCATTAGTTTGTGAACACAGTCCAGCTACACTACCTGAGAATGAAATACTGTAATTGCTATGGGCCAAAACCCACTGCCACAAAACCTGACTGTCATCATCAAACTGGTAAGACATGGGCCCGTCTGAGACAGCAGGGTCCAAAAAGACAACAGCAACTTACTTCTGACCCAGTACAGCCAATCCTTATCACATGCTAAGAGGCTGGTAAGATCCATGAAATCTGATCTTACTGAAAAAGCATTCTGCTCCCTGCGCTGGTCATTTCTTGTCTATGAGAAATAGGGCCCCTGGTTCTTGCTTGTGGGCTTGGTCCACAGTTGCTGAGTGGATAATGAGAATACTGGCAAATAACATGAACTGCAGCACTCCTGCAGACGGGTCTGCACACAGGCAGCGTTGATTCTTCAATAGAGCTTACCCAGTCTCTCAGGAAACCGCCGAGACACCTGCTGCTGTTTCCTGCGTGCTACTTCTTCCTTCCAGAATCAGATGCCTTAGAACTCTTAGAATTCTTAGAAATCTAGATAAATCATAGTGGATTGAAGTCCAGATGGTGCCAAACWACAGCCCATTTTTTAACAACTTGTTCCACATTTCGCTCAATATTTGGTCAAGTTTTGCTGAATGACACCGGCAGCTCTCCCCACAACCCCAGGAGCAAGGAGGGTAGCAGTGCAGGTAACAGTGAAGGAGCGGAGGCAACTCTATTACTCACTGCCTGCCACCAGCTGGGCAAACATACCCTCAGGGGCCCACCCAGCGACCGCGTTTGACCAACTCTTGTAATTTGTTGTCGTTGCCTTTCCCGAACTGTTGGCAAGTTGTATCGGTGGGATGGGGGAAGGGGAACGGTCAGACACGGCAGGTGCCAAGTCGCCCCTTCGGGGCAACTAACATGAAACCAGATGAAACGAAGAACGACCTCGATAATGACTTTTTGCTAAGGGAGCAGCAATAAGCAGCAATGGCGAAGGGAAAGAGAGGGAAAGCAGATGGGTCCGCTCCAGCCCCGCGGTCACTTTCCCCGCACCCGCCACCCAAAATGGCGGCCGCGCCTCAGGGAAGCGGCCGAACCTCCTCGAAGGGCCCGACGCCCCGCCCCCTCCCCGCGCGGGCGCCCCCTCCCTCAGCGCGCGCGTGCGCACGTACATGCGTCATCACGCCGCAGCGCCGCTCCCTCCCTCCACCTCCCCTCTCCCATTGGCCGCCGGCCGCGGGCACCGCGGCCAATCAGCGGGCGCGCCCGAACGGCCCAGATCGAGGCTGCCCCTCTTTGCTCCCCCCTCCTCCCGCCCCCCCTTCCCCCTCCCCCTCGGCGCCCTCCGTCGCTACCGGCACGTTCCGCCGGCCGGGCAGGCAGCGGCCCCCGCGGCGGCGAGGGGGCACCCGGCGGGCAGGGGCCGTGACGAGAAGGGAAGAGAAGGAGGAGGAGGAAGAGGCAGCGGCGGCGGAGGAGGAGGAGGCCGCGCGGCCCCTCTACCCCCTCCCCCCCGCCATGGCCGACAACGAGAAACTGGACAACCAGCGGCTGAAGAACTTCAAGAACAAAGGCCGCGACCTGGAGGTAACGGCCGCGGGGCGCCGGCGCCGCCGCCTCGGCGCGCGCGGGCGAGGCGGGAGCGGAGCGGGGAGGCGGGGGGGGAGGGGGAGGCCGCGCTGCGAGTGCCGGGCGCGGCCGTTGGGCGCCGCGCGCCGCCCCTCCCCCACCCCCACGCGTGGGGTGGCGGCTCTGCGGGGCCCCACGCGCCCCCGCCCGTTCCCCCCGCCCCTCCCGCCGCCGCCGCGCGCGGGCGCTTGTCGGGCCCGCCGGGGTGTCGTTAAAACCGCCCTTCGCCGAGGCGCTTCCGCCCCGCCGCGCCGGAAAAAGTGCCGCTTTCGCGTGGTTCTTCCTCAGTTTCCTGCGCAGCGCTTAGCCGCGCCGCCTTTTTTTTCTTTTTCTGTTTTCTTTTTTTTTTTTTCTTTTGTTTTTCCCTTTTTTTCCTCTCTCAGCAGTCCCGAAAAGCCTGAGTCAGGGATTAGGGCCCACTGGTGCGCTCTGCAGTTCCTCCCTTAAGCTATTCAACTCCTAATCTTCAATATACCCGATGCCTATCCGTTTCAACGCCCCCTTTAAAATATATATTTTTTTAAATTAATTAAGCGTTTATGAAACGTTAACGTTTCGGCGCTGGATTTATGGCACGTGGGAGCGGTAGTGGCTGGTACTGCTCAGCCTCCAAACTTTCTGGAGGCCGTGCGTGCTGTTTGCCTCAGCTGCAAAGCTGCTTGTCAACGCGGTACAGGAGATAATTAATTTAGGGCTTCCTAGCAAGTATTCTAATACCAAAATTGCGTATGGAGCCTCACCCATAGGCGCCTGCTTGCAGGGCTGGATGGGGAACCCCTGCACGGTCGCATGGAGTGCGATTTCTCACTTCCATTTTCCATTAACCCCAGTGTGTGTCCCTGTGGTGGAATACAAGAATACCTTCATGCAAAGGGGCAGCTCAGATGATGTTCTTATATCCTTTTTATTTTTTTTTTCAAATTATTTTTTTCCCAAAATAAAGGATGTGTTTATTTTGCTCTCACTCATGGAAAATATTGGCCATGTTTCCTCCTCCTGGGAAGTTGGCTAATCTAGAAGTCAATAGTATCTTGTGTTTTTTTTTCTTTTTCCTCTCCTTGAAACAATTTAGACCAAAAAAAAAAAAAAAAAAAAAAAAAAAAAAAAAAAAAAAAAAAAAAAAAAAAAAAAAAAAAAAAAAAAAAAAAAAAAAAAAAAAGAAACATCTAAGGAAAGTTCTTACTAGGAAACAGTTGTATTGGCTTAACAATATGTTCTTCCATTCCGTAAAATATTTGGCAACGCCAAATGCCAAAATAGTTGGAAATGACAATAATTAATGCAGTTATTGCTCTGTTTAGTAAACAGAGTTGTTACCTTTGTTAGTAAGGTCTTGCCTTAGATGTTCATGGGGTTTTTTTTTGTCCAATTTCTTTAGTTATTTCTGAACGGATGACTGTAGGGGAAGAGACTATTTGTGAAAGTGCAGTCAAGTATACAATGACATACTAAAAGGTGAACTTTGTAGAAAAGAATAGATCGAATTGTGTCTGTATCACTCAGAGTTAAGTTGGACAAAGTATGGAAGATTTAACATGCAAACATGCACGAATAGAAAGAACCCTGGGTATGTGAATCAGGAAGCAGATAATCAAGTGTTTTTTTTTTTTTTGTGTTTGCTCATGTGTTTTAGGTGTCCTACAGTGATGAAAACACTGTTGAGCAATATTACATTTTAGATACTGACAGCTATCCAACAAATCTTGGAACATATGCCTGCCACCAAAAATAACTACCATGGACAGTTATTTTTCATACAATAGCTCAGGCTTATGGCTATCATTCTTGCTTAACTGCTTACACCCCACGTTTTTCATTAGAGTTTGAGATGCTGGAAATGCCTGCTTGAAGTCAGGTATCCAGTGGCAGCAACAGTTACTAAAATGAGCATTCAGTTAATTCATCAGAAAAGTGTGTTCCTCCCCTGCTTTTGACAGAAAAAATGTCTATYTATTTCATATAAAAAACCACCATTTGATCTTTATCTCTTTCCCKTCTGCCTCCTTCACTCCTCCCCTATTTTACATTCACTCTAGTTTTGGGGAATGCCAAGTTAATAAAGCTAATAAATTACCACCTCATAGTAGGCTATTTGTTTATTTTTCAGAAGACGGAAAGATTATTTTTTACAGTTCTGTCTCAAACTATTAAGCATAAATTTAGTCCTTTGCACGGATAAAAATTAAAGTTTGACTTAAATTTTCTAGTTCATCGTACTTCTAAAAATATAAATCTGGTCTTAAACTCACACTAACTTGCAAAATGTATGCTTAATAAAAGTTCTTCATACCCTTAAGTATTRGGTAGATATGTATGCAGGAACATGCTGTGAACAACTACTGGTGTAAGTTTTAAGATGATGTTGATGACTAGCTTAGGAATGGAGTTCATTGTGACCAGAAATACAGATTGACTCCTTGTCCTTTTCATTATTTATAGTATTAATATCTCCAGTAATACCACTGTATTTGAGAGGGACATGATATAACACAGTCATAATCTTGTAAAGCAGGATGCTTCAAAACAGAACTTGGAAAAGCCACTGGATCTCTTCTGTTTTAAAATCAGCACAGCCCCAAAACCTGTTTTAAGTTTTTAAAGAGTTTCCAAAGGAGTTCACTGGACTTGTCAGACTAAAAAGATATTTGGGGATACCAAGAAGGTTTCAGAGAATAGAAAGTTAATTTCATGACTTGGTTTTACTGACTCTCCCGCACAAAATACTAAGTTTGTTTGGGGTTCAAGTAGGAAGGAAGAGGGCATTAACTTCACCTACTGTGAGCTGGTTAAAAATAGATCCTGTTAAACTGACTTGTATTCTGTGGTGAAGCTTGTGCATTTAGGTGTTTAAAAAAATAACGTTGGTGTCTTTGTGCGRGATGCTTTATTTGGTGTGCACACCTTCTCCAGGAAGAAGCATATTGATTTTTGTAACTGAGGGACCCCATTATAATTCTACGAGAGGAAGAGCTGCTCAGATGTGTTTTTCAGTGTTATCTTGTAAAGTTTGTTTGCTTTAAAACTGTGTAGCATTTTTTATCAGTAATCTTGATGTAAACTTTGTTGTTCTAGTTTGCAAATGAACCAGAACCAGCCTAGAGGACTAACGGATAAAAGAGAGCCTGAATCACCTGATTAAACTGAATGTGAAGAGAATRAATTTTTATGAAATCTAAATGTGGACTTGCATGTGTCTCTGAGGAGGTCTTTCCTTGTTTTATAGTTCATTAGCCTGTTGTTCCTGTGAAACACAAGAAAATTTGTATTCTTTGTGTTGGGTGTCCTGAGTTAGGGACCAGTTTTCCCTAAGTGCTCTACAGACCGAGTGCTTTGTGGGCCAATACTAATGGGTAAGCTGCTGCACAGGACAATAGTCCGTGGTGTTTTCCGTGAAAAATTGAATGTACCATACAGCCCCCAAAAAGGYTGAGGTAACTAGGAGTTAGTTTTTCTCCCACACTATTTTTTGTTTGTATTTTGAATCCTAGATCAGACTGGCTATGCCAGTGCACAGCAGCAGTTGCCAGGGAAGAAGATAGGTCAAGCAGCTCTGCTTTACAATAACTGCTGTTGCCCTTTGCAATGGAAACAGCGAGCTTTTGCTTTTGCAAGCCGTTCTCTGGAAYGGGAGGCATAAATGAAGTTCTCACATTATTTGTATGCAGGCAGGTCTTGATATTTGAGATGCAGAAAGAGCTCTGTGGGTGAAATAAGTTGTAATAGCAAAACCCACAAAGGAGTAGAGATGGGTTATATATGTGCTAGAGGCTGAGATCTTGAGAAGCAGTGATTCAAGGGAAGAACTTGAAGAGGGATGGTGATGCATCAGCTGAGCATGAGCTCCAGATGTATGGGAGTATATTTAGAAAGGGTTATTAGATCTGARCAGCTCACAAGTGTGGAGAATAGAGTGTTTCCTCTGTATTTGGTGTTGTGAAACGAATTAGTATCAGGATTCTGCTGCCATTAGCTGATGAAACATTGTAATAATAAACTGGAGGGATACGGAGTGCTTAATGGCCTGCTTTATGATAAAATATATGATAAAACTTGGAGTTGTATGTGTATATACTCGAGGAAATAGAAAAAAGAGGRTGGAAGACTGGCAATCACAGGCTGAGAGAATTACGATAATTTGATTTTCAGTGTAGCAAATGAAGATTCAGTGACTGAAAGAGCCAGAAAAAGTCGTGCTAAAGTGATACATATTTTAAAATGGAAGTATTTGTCAAGGACCAGTCTGGACTCTCTGTTTCTAGAAACTTTTAAATTGGGATTGTTTTCTTGCGATTTTGTTAGTACAGGCTGAGAATGAGTTTGGGGAAGTCTGATAATCAAGCCGGATCTTCTGCAAAGCAGAAAGTAACACCAGAAAATCTGGTTTTATGGTGCTGTCTGCCAAGAAACATTTATATCTAGATTTCTGCTGTTGGTGTGTTTTTCCAAAAATTCCCTTTCCAGGTTGGGGTGATRGTGCTGTGAAACTTGTTGACAAAGCTCGTTTCAGTTCTTCCTGTATTGCTCAGGCTCTCTCTTAAGGAGGAAGTGATAGAGTTAACCAGTAATAACCAGCTTGTCAAACAAATACTGTTCATACAGAAAATTATTTTAAAGGAGCCCTATTTTGGTAAATTGTTTTTACTGGTGATTCCAGCTTGRCTTTCATGGAGAGGCTGTTGTTAGTCTAAGGGGTATTCATGTCTTCAGAGGCAGGCAGGAATCAAAACTGAGGGACAGTCTTTTTTTGCTGTGAGAAGCACCTTTTCAGACAGACCTGATTCAGGATTTTTTTTATGTCTGATTGACTATATATATGCTTTTTCTTCAGATGGTGAAACTTTCAAAAGACGTATCTGAACAGTTTTCCTTATTTATTTTTTTCCTATTCTCTCCATCCCTCACATACATGCGTGTGTGCTTGCTCTACTGAAGGAACGTTCCACTTGAGTCAGAATATATTCCCTTTCAGGCTTACTAGTAACTGTATTATCTTTTAGTATCTGTTATGGTTTAATGCTGATTTGCAAATGATGCCCCAGCAGTGAAGTCTTGTGCTCCTTGAGATGCTATATATTTTGTCTGGCTCTTAGTTGGCAACAGCTTTGCTGTAAACAGTGATGTCATTGAAGTTTGTGAAGAAAAGTATTGCTTGCAGTGCAGCTTTTCCTCAGGTGTGCTTCTTTCATTAGTTTGCACTAACGTAGTTGAGGTTTAGAAAGGGGTTCAATTAATCCTCTGAGATGACGAAGGCTTGCTATTCTGGAATCTTTAAATGAAAGCTTTTCCTCATCTTAATGTCTACTTCCATATGTTGGGTTAATAAACTTGGGAGAAACTACAGTGAAGGCAGGCTGATAGCTCCAGCAGATGTCAGCTGTGGGGTTGCACAGTCTGTAAAGTGCCATGTGGTAAGTTGTGTCCACTAATGTGCTTGATTTTGGCTTCTCTGGAAAGGGAGTGGCCCTTCAAGCTCAGGTACGTGTCTGGTGAGTGCTTCTTGCCTTCAGCTCTGTTTTTCAGAGTTACCATTCATCATCCAGCTGGAATAAATGTCTCTACTGAAGTATCCTGGGTTACAGTTTTCTGGATTCCAGTTATCTAGTGCTGACTTAGGCAGTTGGTAGCATCCTGCAGCGCAGGCMACTGCTGGTAAAGGACTTAGCCCTTGAGAACTGAGATGATGCCCGTGTTTGAAAGCTGAAGCATGAGCTGCCAGGTGACAGTGGTAGGATTCTGTATTGGTATGTTTAATATGTATATAGAAATAGAAAGGTGGTACCTGGAGAAATTTTGTTGTTTTCAACTTTTCTTTTTCCCTAGCAAAGACTCTTGAGTTGGAATTATTATAAAACATTTGAAATATAAGAAAAAGCTTATGTATTTATAAACTTGTATGTTTATAACAGGTATCAGAATAAGTCAGAGAAATAGCTGTTTGGTGAGACCAGTGTCAATACTTCTTTTTTGGCTATTTATAGATTATTTTGAGAATTTTCATCATTTTAAAAGTTCTGAGAAGTGTTTAAAAAGCTTGTCCAGCCACAGAGAATAAATCCGTACTACTTGTTCGTAAAATCTCCTTCTCTGTACTAGATGTTGGTAGATGAGATGATGTTAGAGAACAAATCTGTACTAGATGTTGGTAAAATCTCCTTCTCTGCATTCTAACATTGTTAAGTTTTACTGTTGACTACAATGACAATTTAGATGAAAGCTACGAATTGAAGTTGCACTAGACTCTTATTCTAGTACCTTTGATCTTTAATTTTAACTTTGACCTGTGTTTACAAGAGCATGCTTTAAAGACACATTWATTGGATACTCGCTTTGGTACTTTTCAGTGTGGGACAGTTTGCACTTGCTTGTTGACTCTTATCTAGTTAYGGGTACTTCATCTGCATTGGCTATGTCCATGTGCTTTATCTTTTTTAGACTGGGAAACTATGTGGGGTGGTTTGTTTTCATTGTTTTCTTTTCCTTCCTCTGTTTTTCTCATAGTGAAGTGCATTTTGGTCTTTGAGCGATGAAACGCTCTACCTCCAAAGTAGCAAGGAGTCATCCTCTTACCTCTATTCCTGTCCCCTTCCTTTTTTTGTAGTGTATTCCTTTGAGAAAGAAAACTGAACAAAAATATTGATTATAATGAAATGCACATTCATTTTCATGTAAAAGACTGCTACTGAAAGTCAAGCTTTTAATTCTTATTTTCAAAACTGTTCCTTATTGCTATACAGAAGCTTTTAACTCTTTTTTTCTTGTATTCTGCTTTATTGGGACCCCTTTTGCTCTGGAATTTTAATTTTCTTAAGTCACAATAAAATTCACTTAGTTTAGATTTGATTACTCTGACTCGCTGTAGATTTTGAAGCAGAAGAAAATTATTAGACTCTTCAATTTAAACTTTGCCCTGTGGTAACAAGAAGAGTAAACCAAACGTGCACACTTTAGACTGCATTTTTGAACCATCTAAATTGATGTCTGTGCAGAAGATTCTCGTGATTGTCATTTATAAATAATATTTTGGCAGATCAGCTTTGATTATTAGGTCTTTTCATTTGAACTTGTATACAAAGTCATTATGTAAGGTACCAGCCACTACTGTTTCACACAGTAAGAGAATGTGCCCAGCAGAAATGTGTGAAACTTGTTACATGAACTGTGGCTATTTGGTAGAAAAAAATTGCATCACTTGTATGGAAAAGTATATTTACTGGTGCAATGCCTGTATGAGAAGCCAAGCCTAATCCAAGTAGGCGTGATTTAAAAATAGATCACTGTGTTGTCTAGATATATTTACTTTGAATAATTGCCTTGTTCTTTTTAGCTCAGCAGTTGTATTTTTTATATCAAATGCCTCTGCCTGTGCAGTCACCCAGTTCTCAGGCTGCCCTGAGGTGCCAACTTTTAATCCTGAGATGAGCTAAGATGGTTGAACCAGACTTTACTGCTTCCTAATTTACTGGTCTGCCCTTGTCTGAAATGAGGTAGCCCTTTGTATTCCGCCTCTCTTAATAAAGTGGCAGGTTTGGCTGTGTATGGGGTTTGACCTTAGGCTCTATCTCTTGTTCTGGCCTGTTTTTTTGGGAAACACTGATGCTGGATTTGGGAGCATCTCCTCAAGTAACTTGATGAGTAATGGCACTAATAGTACCTGCAGGTACTAGGTAGCTTTGAGGATCGTGCTCTTGTAAATCTGGATGTGTTTTACTGGGTGAATGCTGTTTTGTGTATTTTGCAGAAATATCATATTATTAGTAGCATGAAAGATGTTAAGACTTGAATGGAGAAAGGGCTATAAATAATGGTCAAATTTTGAAATCAGAAACACCTGATAAATAAATGCTTTTGGTTTGGCTCCTGTATTTATAATGTATTCTGGGTATTACTGCACTTATATATGGCACTTTAATCATGACCCTCTCTTAAAAGACATTATTCTTTGCTGATTCAGTTTACTGTCTTATTTTTCATTTTCAATACAAGGACCTGAGGGGATTGTGTTTGCCTATCAAATAATAGTCAAGCGTAATTTAGCACAGTATCTCTATTTGCTATTGATTTTTTACACTTACACACAGGATGTAAAGGTGTATATTGTATAAGCGCTGCTTAAAGTGCATAAGCTTTTTTTTTTTTTTAAAAAAAAAAAGGTTTGTAAAGCCTATTCTTATTTGATCCAGATTCAGAATATAATGTACTCTCTTTGATCTTGATTCCTTTCAGACTATGAGAAGACAAAGAAATGAAGTGGTTGTGGAGTTGAGAAAGGTAAGATGAACTGGTATTATTCTTACCAAATGGGAGTTGGCTGTATTTCAGTAAAAGCTTGTATTTAAGGCTTAAAAATACTGTTGTGTGTTCTACAGGCCACTGAACACTGTTGCTAAGTACTTCTGTTTTACAAATTCTGTGTAGGTGCTTTTAATTTAGAAGGAACTTTTAAATTTACCATACCTGCTACTAGAAACTTCATATTAATATCATTTATCTTTACTGACAAATAGTTTTTATTTGCAATTCACTCAAGGGAGTAATTTTTACTTCTACAGATAGGTTCTTAAGATAAGCATTAAACTTTCTTTTCCTCCTTTGAATATGAGTAATTCCTGGTAAGATAGAGGCGGAAAGATGTTCTTGCCCAAARCAACAGTCCGAAACAGAGATGCAAGTGAAGTAGTGCAGAGGAGAGGATGTGTGTGAAGATAAAACTGCTTAAAATTGTCAAAATTCTAGCTCTTAAGAAATGCTTACTTGATATTCTTGGATGAGAAGAAAACTAGATGCTGGAAATTGCCTTGTCTTGCTTAGAAATTCTGACAAGTAGATTTTAAGTATTCATGCTGATGAATTTGAGCATGTGAAGCCTCTAGAAAAAGTGCAGTTGCTGCTGTAGGTAAAGCTGGATGGAAGTGTGGCTTCTTTTTTTATGAAGTGATTTTACTTCCCTTTACTGTACTTTGTAACTTCTTAAATGCTGGATTTTGATCGTGTTGATGAAAGCATGTGTACGATAGTAGCTTAAAGAAACTTTTCTTCCTTCTCTGCTCTACTCATTGAATATTTTAAAAACAGTAAATCATTTTTTTCTTTAAGAACAAAAGAGATGAGCATCTCTTAAAGAGGAGGAACGTACCCCAAGAAGATATCTGTGAAGATTCTGATATAGATGGTGACTTTAGAGTGGTAAGAACCAACTCATTTTTTTTAATAACTTGTAAGACTCTTCAGACTTTTAACTATTTTTTTTTCTATCTGTTTTCTAGCAAAATACTTCCTTGGAGGCGATAGTACAGGTAAAAATTCTTAATTGTGTTTGAACTTCATTATAACATAGTGATAAGTACGTGAACAGCCTAACTTCTCTCTTGTTTCAGAATGCTTCAAGTGACAACCAGGGTATACAGCTAAGTGCTGTGCAGGCTGCAAGGTAAGACATTTTTTTCTTCTARCTTAGCTGAACTGGAAATGGGATGTCATTTACTTTTTATTTAAGCTTCAAAAAAATTCTCAGTAAAGAAGGCTATAAAAGAAAGATCCAAGCGCCTGAGTATTCAAAGTAGTCAGAATTTCATTAGGTGTAAATGAATACTAGTTAAATAATAGCATGATGCTTCTCACAAGTGGAATATAGTATACAATTAGCAGGATTATAAACAGTATTTAATCTAAAATAGAGAAACAAGTTGCTATAAAAATCTTACATATTTTTACATCAATTAAGCCTGTAAGAGGCCCTCTCATTTTAAGGGGAACTATGCATAGTTGTTATATGTATAGTTAGATATTCATTTGAGTAGATTTTCAGAAATACTGCTAAGAATTGATTTGTGTTTGCATAAATTCACTGTTTAGCTGTTGTATAAGTCTTGCTGTAGCTGTGCACTACAGCTTTGCAGCTGTTTCTCTCTGAAGACAGGGGTCTTTCAAGTGTAAGAACTTCCAGCTCAGAAGTAAAGTGAATAGGAAGCTACTTATGGCAGTTACTGCGCTTGAATGTGATCAGTGCTAAAGCAGTTTTTATGCCTTGTCATCAGGGGAGTTTACCTTTAAAATAAAATGCATCAACTTGAAATAATATCACTTAGAAAAAGCCTGTGTTTTTTTTATAGCTAATATAAGCTAGTTTGAAGTCCACTGAATTAAGTCTGGAAATATCCACATGGAATTTTTACTAGTTTAAATACTTTTTCAATTGAATTTTTACGGAGGAAAATGTGTATGTATCGGTGTTAATTACTCCATGTCTTCAGTCTGATGCTGGAATGAGAAGGAATAATCTTGCCCAAGTTGAACCTAAAAACATACAAATTGATAAGTACTTAAGAGACACAAGACACAAAAAATCTTTTATTCTTAATTTTTGTAAGCTTATACCTGTAAGTCATCACTTTTAGAAGGAATCTGCCTTGCTCAGTTGGAAGCGTAAAATGCATATCTTGCTTATTGTTATGAGAAGCTTATTATTTGTGAATAAATCGGAATATGAAGAGATGACTAGAAAGTTTCTCTTTTCACTACCTGTATAAGTTTTAGGAAGAAGTTTTAAGTGGCCCCCCAGGAACCTTTCTGCATTCCCCTTAAATTCCTCCACTGTGGGAAAGGTGAAGCTAAAGAGATCAGCAGTTAGGACAAATCTGCATACTCTGTTCTTCACAGCAGCACTTTGTGAACCCCTGGCCTCTCAGTTTATCCTTAGCAGGAAAGAAACAACCTTCTGACAGTCTTGCTAGGGCAGCCAGGGGCTGCCTATCCGCCCTGGCAGGTGGAGGAGGAAGAGGCTGCAGAAGGGTGTAACCGAATAACGTCGGTAGTGTCTGACTGGTGATATTCTTCCAAAACARGAATATATGGTAACTGGAGTAGACACTGTATGTTTTTCAGTAGTTCAGTGGTTTCTATCATGGCACTTAAGTTATTTCTCACTGACATTGAGAAAATAAAGCCTGCTTGGTCCCTTGAGAGTATGAGATTTGACAGCTCTAGAACATATTTCCCAAAGAACTTGTGGAATCTSCACAGTTGGGGTTTTCAAAACCTAGTTCACAAAACCATGACTGACCTGATCTAGTGTGAGCAGTAGTTCAAGTATGAGGTTGAACTAGATGACTTCAGAGAGCCTTTCCAATCATCACTTTTCATGCTGTGTTTCCCCGGATAAGTCTTTCATTTTTATTTTTTTGTTTCTAAACAGAAAGCTGCTTTCCAGTGATCGCAACCCACCAATTGATGATTTAATAAAATCAGGAATATTACCTATTTTAGTGCACTGTCTTGAAAGAGATGACAAGTGAGTACTCTTACAACTAAAATAGTTCAACTATCACAAGAATTTTTGGTATTCAATTAAAATGCCTATGGATTCTGAATGTAGAATCATGTTACAACATTTTTTCTTATTTTGTAGTCCTTCTTTACAATTTGAAGCTGCGTGGGCTTTGACAAACATTGCGTCTGGAACCTCTGAACAAACACAGGCTGTAGTTCAATCTAGTAAGTCAAATAGTGGTTTTGATCATTGATAAAATGGGCACTGTAACTTCCACAAAACTAAGAAGATCTGAATGATACCGTAAAGAGCATCCACACTCCTGTTCTCTCTGTCTCAAGCATGTTCACCAATCCACATGATAGGGTTGGTCCTTTCATGCGATAGCCAGGATGGTTGAAATTGAGTTGTCAATCACAGGCACGTCGCTGAAGGACCTGCCCCTGAAGTCTCCTGCCAGAAGTTCTACCTCTTCTCTGGCAAGCAGCATCACTTGAAGCGTACACCTGCTTTTGTTCTTCATTTTCTCAGRTTTTAAATTCAGTTGGGTTTCCTGATGGTGAGTAATCTCTTCTGGGAACTCACTGTTTTAGCAGAGATGATATCTGCTGGTTTCCAATTTTCAATTTTTTTAAAAACCTCCCATGGAGAGATTTCTTGTCTAACTGTGAAGAGGGAGGAAAAAGGTGTGGACCAAGTTCAGATTGTGCCTCTCATCAGACTTGCTTCCAAAATAATGTTGAAGATAAAATGCTGTGCTTCGTACTTTGAGGATTCCGAAGCCTGGGAAGGAATTGTTGTACTTGGAGTCTGAACTACCAAGCAAAACAATTGTCTGTATGTGAAACATGTCCTGAGCTGAAGCAGTGCTCCTGTTGGTCAAACGGAGCTAAATAGAAGTGTCAGCCATTTGTTTGAACTTGGTGAATTACGCAGCTGAGCTTCTTGTGACCCACAATAGAATTAAGCAAATATTAAAACAAGTTTTCCTTAAAACTTGAGGAAAAACAAAATCCACAGAACTTCCATTAAGTGAGATAGCAGCTTTAAGAGTTGTACGCAGTACTGTATTACAGCTTGAACTGTTGTTTCCATTGGATGTGCTGTGTCCTTCCAACGGTGAAAAGACGAATTATACTCCCTATTTTTGTAGGTTCCCCATCTACCATCATGTATTGGATTTTTTTTAAACTGCATGGAACTTGCGTAATAATGCTTCTAAAACATACTGTGTGATTCCCGATGGCATCTTGTTTCCTTTCGAAAAATGTAGCTGATTTATAAACTGTGCTACACATGGCTTGATTTAGATTTAAACAGTTAGCAGAAAGAAGTTATACCTTATTGATGGACTGAAGCTGAGCACTGTTTAGAGCAGTTAATTTTGGTGATGATTCCTGATGTTGCAAGGCCTGCATGGGTGCKCTGTATTAGCCAGTTTAATAGTTGCAAACTCTAGAAATGTGATTTGCAAGAGACTGTTTCTTGTAATGATTTCCTTAAATGAAAAAGGGTGGTCAATCATCTTCCTGAAAGAAATAATGTAGTTGCTGGGAATRTTTCCCAGGCAGTGCTTAGAGGCATTGCAAGTGCCTTTGCTTAAGAAAAAGTAAGGACTCTTGTAATTGTTAACACAATAGCAAAAATATTCATACTGAGAATCTATAAAATACCAGCATTGATTGAAATCCCATGTGATCTGAAGTTACTTTCAGATTATAATTTGTAATTTAAATACTAAGTTTTGGAGCAAGAATGAGGATCTAAATGAGTTGTCCAGCCATATATTGGCTCAGTATCTCTTGCGGTTTGGGAGCACTCTCCTGTCTGACCRCAGCATGGGGCAGAAGAGCAGCTGCCTTGTTCTTGATAATGATTCTGTGATTTATGTTATATTTGTGTTAGTGTGTTGTCTTTTGAATCCGCTTCTCACTGCTCATGCAGTTGGCTCTTTTTGGTCACGTGTTGGCATTTTAAAGGATCTCCTCTGTGGTGATCAATTAGAATGTTATTTCAGACAATGGTTCTCCRGCAGAGAGTCAGAACGTACTGATCTGGAAGGATACTTGATGATGATCTGTGTGAGCTTTTGGGAGACTGAGCAGAATGGATTTGTAGAAACAACTGCTCTTACTGTGCAGATGCTTTGATAGGTATTGTCTTCAAAATACACTAGTAAAACTGAGTCTGGAAATAGTAGGAAAAGTACACAGTGCCTTGGTGCTTGGTGAATGCTTTGCATCAACATCAGGGATTCTTCTGGTGCAGTTTACCTTCTTGTGTGCATTGGAGGTCACTGTGCCTGTGCTCAGCTGTGGGTGGAATAAGGCAGGAAGGAATAAGGTTGAAGTTACTTGCTGAAACATGGAGCTTCCCATTTGCAATGTGTTGGGAGGTCCTCAAGTACCTGACTGTGCACGTTAAGACCAGCTACTGGTGCGTGGTTCTCTGCTAGTGAAAATGTGATGGGTTACAGAGGGTCCTTGAATACTAACATTGCAGCAAATCAAGGCCYGTGTGCTTCCCTCTGGCTACATTGTCTGTCTTCAGTAATGCAGATGTRCCTGAGCTTGGCTAAGGGGACCGGTGGGGTTGATGTTAAACAGTTAGTACTTGCCAATTAGTTCTGACAGAAAAATTGACACTAAATTTGCAAATTCTCYCCAATTAGTGTAATTAAGGATGGAGTTTTGATGAGCTTCAGTAAACTTTTATTAAGACTAAGCAGATTAAATGGAGAGAGTTACTTTCTTAGAGTTCTGAACTGCATGCTCTTAYATGAAACTAATAAAGGAATAATTGTTGCAAAGTGTTTTCTTTCAATATCATCTAGAAAGCTAGTATTAAAGCTTTGACCAATACTTGGCTGGAAGAGCTGATTATGTTAGTTACATCTCAAAGGCAAACTTTTTCTTAACAAGGGCATGTTTTCTTTTGTTTGTATTTTTCAGATGCTGTGCCACTTTTCCTGAGACTGCTGCATTCTCCTCATCAAAATGTTTGTGAGCAAGCTGTGTGGGCTTTAGGCAATATCATAGGTTTGTGTTACTTTTGCTATTAAAAACACTTAAGCTCATTTTGAAATCAGATGAATAAAATAGCTAGGTTTTTTTTTTGCTAGAGCGTGGAGGTGTGCTCAACTATGGAATGCAGTCCTTAGACTGACTTTGATATGCYGAGGTGTCAAGAATGTCAATAATTACACTCTGTTCTTAACTTCTTCCTGTTAGTGCCCTTAGATCTTTCATTCTAGGTACAGGAAAAAAATACTGACATGCAACAGACAAGCAGATTATTAAAATAAAAAATTTATTTTCTCTTGATCTGTAATGTTTAGCCTGAGCTCACATACATTGTGTATGTTGAATTCTGTTTTGATTGTGATCACCGAAGCTTTCATTTGATTGTCCTTTCTCTGTGTGAACTTGATCTTTCTTGTGAGCTCTACAGTGTATGTAATCATAGTCCTGATTATATTTACTATGCTGGAAAGCTAATATCGGCTGTAAGATCCTGAGTTTTCTGCAATATAAAGAAAATGTAGGCATTTCTAAAACATTAGAATGTAAACAATGAGTCCAATATTGTAGCTGCCTAGAGTGACTCCTAGTGTTGTGTGTTGTATGAGTTAGGTGATGTGTCTGAGGCAATTGTAGTGGTACATCGGTAGTGACAGTAGCGTTTATTCTCAAATAAAAAGATGACAATGTCTAGTTATCTGTCTGAAGTCATCTGTTTTCGGGCAAGTCTCTACTGTTTGTGGGATATTTTAGAGCTAATGAATCTGCTGGTAGTGATCTTCAGGAATGTATTGGACAATCAACTATTGTTTGCAGTATCTTCCAGCCCTTTTCTTTGCCCTGCCTCTACCTTGTCCTGCAGATCTGCTCTAAGAGTGCAGTTTGATAGATGTGTGTCTGTGTTTACCTATATGAATCTCCCTTGGCCAATCATCTTTAACTTCACATCAGTAAACATTTCTAATGTTTAAGCAGTCTTAAATGTACAGAAGATAGTGGGCTGACTCCCTTGCAAGTGCTGAATATTTGATGCATTATTACTTACTAAGTCATTAATATTCATGTTTTAATTTTTTTGTTGAATGTATGATGAACCAAGAGGTGGGACAGATTGGAGCACCTTACAACAGGATCCAAGACTCAAGCACAATTTCACAGCTTAATGTTAAGAGAGTAGTTTTTTGGTACCATTTTTGTGAATGGCACGGGATGGTTTGTCTTCATACTTCTTTGTGTGTGGTCCTTTAAACAGGTGATGGACCCCAGTGTAGAGATTATGTCATTAGTCTTGGAGTAGTGAAACCACTGCTGTCCTTCATCAGCCCATCGATTCCCATAACTTTCTTAAGAAATGTTACTTGGGTCATGGTCAACTTGTGTCGTCACAAAGATCCTCCTCCACCAATGGAAACCATTCAGGAGGTAACTGAATTACTCACTGCTCAGTGCTATTAAATGAAGTTGAATATCTGAATGCCTTAAACATAACTATTTAATACTAAATGCTTCCTTTCTTTCTTAGATCCTTCCAGCCCTTTGCGTTTTAATTCACCACACAGATGTAAATGTAAGTAGCACCACTTTCAGCAAGTTTAGTGCTCATCTGTAGCATTTTAGGTGAAGTATATGATTTATCATAGATAGCGTTAAAACAACAAAAAAGTATCATTTTCTTTTGGCTTGTTGCAAGCCTATTTTGATATCTCCATACATATTTTTAAGCAGCAGTTATGTTTTTGTCATTTTTTCCCCAAGTACTCAATTGTATGTGCTTTTCCTRTGCTTAAGAGAATCAGCTTATTTTCTTCATGCTCTGTACTCACAGGAAGTGAAAATGCAGTTGTATGTATTTCTGCAGACACAGATAAACATAGAAGTTTGTACAGCTATTGCCAACTTGGGGTTGTAACCCAGAAGTGTCCCGTAATCCAGGGAGAAATATGAATAACTGGTGCTAATGTAAAACACTAGCAAGTATTATATGAAAATGATGAGGTATTAACATATTAACTTTAACTTATTTCCCCAGTGAMGTGTAAGTGATGGAGATTTTACTGAAGTCATTAAACTGCTCCACCTAAAGCCTGTTTTTGCCTAAACAAAAGGTGGAATTAATCAGGATTTTATCTCTGCCTTTTAGGAAAATYGAAGTTTAGGCATCTTAAGTTTAATTCCAAATTCTTGAGGGGAGGGGGGGAAAATATATAGATAGACACAGATATAGATTATATTTTAATCATTCCATAAGGTGAAAATGAAGAAACTTATTTTGAATTTCTTGAAATGTCTATATTTACAGATTAGTCTGTATTTACAGATCAGTTGGTCAAGAGTTGTCAGCTGAAATAATGCTCAGTCTGTCAACTGATTTGCAAGCTGTCACTTGAAATGTTCTGTTTTTCTACTTTAACTGGCTTCTCTGTGTGAATGTTTGTATACACAAATACCCCTAGGAAATCCAGCATGAGACATTGCAKCACTAGGTTCTAAAGAGAATTTCAGAGTCTTTCTTAACTCGGAGGAGCTCTAGGAACAACAACTTAAGGTTATGTGAAGTGTAGGCTGCTGATTTGTAAGCATGTCAGATGCTGGCAGTTCTGTATTTCCTAAGACTTAATCTCCCTTCAAGGGATCAATCTTTTATAACTCATATTGTCCTTCCAGTGCTTCATGAAATGTGCAAATATTCTTKAATTTCTCTTGTTGTTGCATAGTTTTATAGATTTTATTTGTAGCAGTCTTTGCTGCTTAGCTGATTTGTTTCTATGTGTTTTTTGGAAGCAGGAACAGATTACATAGCAGATGTTTCAGATTGAAAAAAAAAAAGAAACATGCAAAGCTTGTAAGACAAAGTGGTTTATGAATGTGAATCTGCTACATTGCTTCAAAGGCTTGACTTCAGAGTATGATCTGTATGCTTTTTTAATTTATTTTTTAGATATTGGTAGATACAGTTTGGGCGCTCTCATATCTAACGGATGCTGGCAATGAACAGATCCAGATGGTGATAGACTCTGGAATAGTTCCTCATTTGGTTCCTCTTCTCAGTCATCAAGAAGTTAAAGTGCAGGTATGTTCAGATAACTACCAGAAAGAGTTTCATGTGTAATGCAGTTAACAGTTACCCTAACTGTTCTTATTCTGAAGATACAGATTGTTTGATTAGAAAGTTCTTTGTCCTTTCTGTTTATAAGAAATATCTTTTTTTTGTTCAAAAGAACTTCAACAGAACTTGTTCTGTTTCAGACTGCTGCACTGAGAGCTGTAGGAAACATTGTCACTGGTACCGATGAACAGACACAGGTAGTTTTGAATTGTGAAGCTCTTTCACATTTTCCAGCACTTCTGACACATCCCAAAGAAAAAATTAATAAGGTATGTAACTGCAGAGCCTGTGCCTGCTTGAGGATTATTTGATATTTGACTTTGCAATTTTGAATTAAATAATGTGATAGAGCTGTTGGCGATTGACTGCCTTTGAGATACTTGGGATGCTGAATACCCTCCTCTTTAACATACTTAAAATATCTGAGAAGTTACCAACTTGTCCTTGACAAGGAATGGTCATTTTTCTGTTATTCAAACTAAATTTTTCTGGAAATGAAGCTATATCTTGTAGTGCTACTTCTTGACATACAAATTAGTTCCTGATRTGTGAGGTAAATGCAACTTATATTAATCAAGCTGACTCTCTTGGAAATGATGAAATAGAGATAATTGGATGTCTCCCTGAATGGAGTGTGTATGGTAAATAGCATTTAATTAAAATCAAACTTTTGGGGGGTGGGAGAAGTGTGTGTGTTTGTGTGTGGTATATAAAAGGCTATAAACTGGGGGCACTGATAATGAAGTGCTGATTSCGGAGTGCATCTGAGGCATGTTGTTGAATTCTGGGGCGTTGCTTTTCAACATTGCCGATGATTAGTGCCCAAAACAAGCTCACCAGACTAGCCTAGGCATCTTAGAAATCTCTAACAGGTTCATTAGTGAAAATGATCCTGTGATCTGATCCAAGAGACTCAGATGAATGTTCACATACACAAATACAGTAATTTCTGGATCTTGTGTTAGACTTAAATATTCATACAAAAGGTCATGCAGGATAAGGAGAAATTCATCAACTAAAAGATTAGAATAAAGAACTTATTCTTTGTGTACTTAATTTTATGTCTTTGCATTATTTCTTGTCACTAGAAGTATAGATCACTTRAATCCAAATGCAGCATTTGGCGCAATTCAAAATGTCAACTGTCAAGGCCTAGGAGAGCGCACAGGGGAAAAGGTCTCTTCTTGCACACTCTTTCCTAGGCATCTGCCAGTGGTTATTGCTGGAAAGAGGGTGTCATGGGCATGTGATCTTCTGGGTAGAATGATCATAACGGATCATATGACTTCACAGTGTTCTTGAAAAGTGTGCATTTAAATTGATTTCTATGTATTGCGTTTACTTGATCATTTGAAGCTAGCAAAGAGGCACCCTTTTGAACAGGAGAAAAACATTATTTATCCCTTGTGAAATGCATGATGCTGTGATCCATTTTGGAGCTGATCTAGCAGGCAGCTGAAAACACCAACATTCAGTAACAGAATCCATTCTGAGTGCTTGTTTGTAGYCTTGTGACTTTCTTTTCCGTTTGATCTATGAATTTGGAGTATTGGGTTGTAGTTTCTTTACAAGGAGAGACCAAAGAGCTCTGTGGAGTCTTCGGAGTAGTTTACATTTATACTTATTAGGAGTTCTGTATGCAAAATAGACCTAAAGTCTTTAATTGTGTTTCAGAATGGCTCTTGTATCAATTGTAAAAATGTGACTGTATAAAAGGTAACTGAGTTGGAAATAGAATATGGTATAGAAGACTTTGTGAATTAATTTCAGTAAACCCTTTTATTTTGCAGGAAGCAGTGTGGTTCCTATCTAACATCACTGCCGGAAATCAGCAGCAAGTTCAGGCAGTAATAGATGCAAACCTTGTTCCAATGATAATACATCTTCTAGATAAGGTTAGATAACAAGGATTTAACTGTTTATTTTCTTCAGTTGGAAAAGTAGCATTGAACTTCTTGCTTTACCTTTTACATCATGTTGTAAAATCTGATATGGGTGGAAGCTATGGTGGTATTGACCAGCTGGTAAACTAGCTCCATGTGCATTTTCATTTGCTTCAAGATAAAAGAATATCTGAACCAGCAGTACGTATTTGTAAAGTGCTGTCAGGTGATGTATCTGAATGCATTGGGAAAGTTCCTTCCGAGTTCCTTCTAAACTCAGTATTTTTTTTTCTTACTCTTTTTCCTGCCTCTGTAAACAGTGATGCTAAAATTTACTCTTTTGTGTAGTATAGAGAGATCTGTTTGGGAATAGTGCTAAGTTAGTTCCCAGCATTTTGCCTATTCCTGGCTGCTTTGTCCTTTTTTTAAAAAAAAAAAAATTCTGTTATATGGGAAATAAGGAGGTGCTCAGTGATGATATTTATTAACTTGATCTTTTTTAATTGGTAAAACTGCACCAAAACTGACTATCTGTTAGAGCATATAGCTTTTKTTCACTGTTTTTTGTTGCTTAACATGTACATATATGCATGTATAGATGTGTTCTTTTCAGTAGTAGATTAAGCCTTTAAGATGAATATTGTTTATTTGGGGGGGGGGTGATTATTTACTTTTTTTATTCAGGTGAAGTAGTTGTAGGTAAAACATTCTTGTTTTGCCTCAAAGTCTCTCATGGTGTGTTCAGCACCAGGAGTTGAATGCCAGTGGCTCATCCAGCTGACATTCAAATACTTGTATCCCATTTCAGTTGTTGAGTTTCACTGTTTTTTAAAACATCACTTTCTGGATTGCGTTGTGCTCACAGTAACTCTGCTGTGAGGATAAAATGTAGCCAAGAGGGTTTTTATAAATGAGGGAAAAGTATGCAACACTTCAGTCTTTCAAATATTTTCTCCTTTGTTCATGGCTTGACTTTGCTTTCCTGAAATGTGGAAGGAAGTGAAATAGCAGCCTGATGCTTTCAGCCAGTGCAAAATGCAGGATCAGGTGTCAGGCTGGGGTTGTGACTGAAGAAGTGCTTGTGTCCTTTCCCCAATAATATAGAGCTGTTCATGAATGGTTCTATTGCTGCTAAGTATTGGTCCTCAGATGARTTGGCTAACTTCAGAGCCCTGCTTTGTTTGGCTAGCTCAGTGCACAGTGTTTTATCAGAATTGCCACTCACTGCGTTATCTGTCACTTATTTATGACAGCTGTTGATAAGCAGTGTAAGAGGGAAGAGTACTGCAGCTGTTTTCCTTTACTTGGACACAAACAAGTTTCTCTTGCTTTAGAGGAGTATTAAGAACATGGTACAAGGGAGGAGTGAAAACAACTGTGAACACAAACATCTACAGGCTCTCAGTTACCCTTCTCCTTAGCTGAAGTGATGTGGTGATACTGTGTGGAAATGACTAACAAATAACTTTTTTACGAGTATTACATTGAACAGGATGGATTTGTCAAACTGGAATGATTATTTCTAATTACTGTTGTATTTTAGGGTGACTTTGGTACTCAGAAAGAAGCTGCTTGGGCAATAAGCAACTTAACAATCAGTGGAAGAAAAGACCAAGTGAGTGAAATTTTTAGAAAGGGTCCTTTATTTAAGAGTCTTATTGAAGAGTCGTTAAGTGCATTTGAGAGATTTCTGTTGCTTAGCTTAGGACTGTGAAAGTGTATATTCCTCCCCTGCTCAGTATCTTGTTTCTCCCTTTGTAAAGGGATTTCAGTTTCCAGTTTTGGAATGATGTGGGTTGGGATTATCAGTGGGAATTTGATATGCCCCAGAAGCTGTGATAAAGCTCCCGATTATTCAGCATCTGCCCTGCCTCTTTCCTTGAGGAAGAGTATGATAAGTACAAGTTTGGAAGCTACAAATAGACTGTATTTCCTGCATGTCAGCAAGTTAAATGAAAATGAGATGAATTCTTAGTTTTGGGCAGAAGCCATTGAGTACAAATACTCCAGTTTCTTGTTAATCCAGGTTATTTACTGTATCAGGAGGGAGTTTGTCATTCTTCAAAGATCAAGTTGAAACTCCATTTCTAAAAATGAAGATGTTAACAATATTTACTGCTTGTCTAAGTGATCTAGACTTGTAATATGTTTGTAACCTAACTCATAAATAATAGTCGAGGCGTAAGAAGACGTATCTGAAAATGACAATTGCTGGAGTCTTGTGCTGTTGTGTAACTGAGTGTCTTCAGTAGTTTGTGTGCTTTTGTGCTGCACTGCTTCCTTCTCTCGTGATTCTGAACCAATTCTGCTTTTTCCATAGGTGGCATACTTAATTCAACAAAATGTAATTCCTCCCTTTTGCAATTTGCTAACAGTAAAAGATGCACAAGTTGTGCAAGTTGTTCTGGATGGACTAAGTAATATATTAAAAATGGCTGAAGATGAAGCGGAAACCATAGCCAATCTTATAGAAGAGTGTGGAGGTATGATGTTTGATGTTTCTATGCAGAATTTCTAGAAATAATTTTGCTTCTGTGGGCTTGACTGTGTCTTGTACAATTGTTTGGAGCAAGCATTTTCARTGAAATCCCTTTCCTTGTCCAGGTGAATCATTAAGAATTTCTACATAAAAAACATTGAAGTATAATAGCTGTAGAAATTCATTAATAGCTTCAGACTTTCTAGTCTTGCTGCTCTTTAAGTTGACTGAAACTCTTCAGGGAAAGAGAGCAGTGACTCTCACTGCTCTCATTCTAAAAGTTTTGTTCAGGGAGTTTTTTTAAACATGAAGAGAATGGCCAGAAGTTTCTAATATTTATATGCATTCTTTGGTCATATCTGCTAATTTTATTGTACTGGAGCTACTGGTTTGTACTTGAGCTGCAGGTCAGTAACTGCTGGTGTGAATGTTGCTGACAGCGTGAGTGGATTTTGAGTGGCCTTGCATTTTGACAGGAGCTGCCACACCAGGTGTTGAAACATGAGTGAAACTCTTGATTTCTGCTACATTTCCCCAATTAACTTAATCACTCGTGGGGAGAGAGAAATCCTATGAGTGCTAGATTTATAGACCTTCTATAAGTTGTTGTTGCAATATGTATGCCGCAGTCTTTTATGTATTTCCTGGAATATCTTAAGAAATTTTTATGCTTAAGCAGCTGATATGAGGCTTCAACTCCTAGATTATTTTGTATAATGAGGCCTCAGGGAGAGGAAGATGATTTTGACTCAACTTTGAATTCTGACTCTGTTCTGTCTTCTGTGTGTTTCCTTTAGGCCTGGAGAAAATTGAACAGCTACAAAATCATGAAAATGAAGACATCTACAAACTGGCTTATGAGATCATTGATCAGTTCTTCTCTTCAGATGATGTAAGTGCCTGATAGCTATGAAATCTGCTTTTGAAATTGTTTACTTATAAAGACGAATCAGGATAGACACAACAACTCTTRCAATACCTGCTGTGATACTTCTTTGTTTTTTAAGGATTTTTTATTGCACCCGGCTTATTGATGTACACTTACAGTTCTGTTGTGCATAATTTATATGTAAAACTAGTTTTATTTCAGGGATGTTAATTGTGATGYTTCATTGAAACCGTAACTAGCATCCTTTATTAAAGTTCCATTAGGCTAATACTGACAGATTATAAAGCTAATTATAAGTGTGAACAAATACAAAACTAAAAATGGGCTGTTGAACTCATGAAACTTCTAACTTGATGTCACAGCCTGAGTAGTTCATTACAGGTAACGAGAGAGAGATTTCTTGAGGTTTTGAAGCACATCTTAATCATTTTAAAAGAAATACATTCTAATGAATACTTTCTAATCTGCATTCCTCTGTGCTTTATTTACTGAATTTACTTGCTCAGATAAGGTGTGGTATATACAGTTAAAAGGGAACAGATATGTATTTTAAAGATTGCATTTTGTACAACCTGGAATTAACGTCCTGGTGATAACTTTAAGTATTCTAGGATAGCTATTTTACTGAAAATCTAGCACATTATGGGTATCCCATATCAGAAAGAAGGATTTTTGACTCTTTGCTGTTGAGCATGTCATCTTCTGCAGCCATGCTGTTAAAGAGTACTTCTGCTCTGCTTGCTGCTGCTTGTGTCTTAAAGAATAGTGTGATGCTAATAGTTCATCTTCATGTGCGTTTGTCTGCACTGTTGAAAGTCCTGCATTTTTTTGCTAATTACTATTTGGTTTAAAGCTTGTGGGGCTTAAGATGTTGAAGACCCACCTAGTAAACTTACTAAATTTGATGAAAAATGAATCCTTATGTTAGCCTGCTGCATGGCTGTTGCTTCATAATGAAGCATGTGACAATCTGATGCCTAGCTGAATCGTAGTATCCTTTCCCCTTGAGGATGAGACCTAAAATAGTTCTGTAACCGCCAATTTTTCACTAAACTTGACTTCTCACATCTGATAAGCTATCTGCTGTCTTGAATGCTAACTCTTGTTTCCTGCTGCTTAAGAAACAAATTATTTTGAATATTTTAGCAATGACAGAGGTAGGTGGTCTTACTCAAGTAAAAATAAGGATGTGCTGACCTAGAATGTTGGTTTTCAGTTTATAATGTAAATCAGCAGAAAGTTATTTTAGATGTATGTGCATTTTAAGTAAGAACTTATTTGCACGGAAGGACACATGTGAGCCTGAAAACTGTCTTTTGTTTGGTTGAAGATCTTATAAGAGCAGATATAGCAAAATGGTAAAATTCAATAGAACTCATCCCTTCTATCTGCTAGGAAGTATATATTATGCCAGAAAGGTGTTTTGTGGTCATCTCTTAAATGACAGTAAAACAGAGGACTGTTAGTAGCAGCTTTAATTTTGGAAAACTCACTACAGGACTTGGAAACTTTGCTAAGCTGTTTTAATGCAATGTAGTAAACTGAGCTGAAATGAGATGTTCGTTAGGACTGTATGGCAGTTTTTGTTTTTTTTTGTTTTGTTTTTTTGCTAGGCTTTAGTTCCTCTGTACCTACTTAATTTCCTTGTTCTCTTGCAGATTGATGAAGATCCTAGCCTTGTTCCAGAGGCAATACAAGGCGGAACGTTTGGTTTCAATTCATCTGCCAATGTACCAGCAGAAGGGTTCCAGTTTTAGAGTGGTGTTTTGGAAGTTAGGTACAATGCAGCACTGAATAAAAAAAAAAAAAAATAAGGTTTGATCCATCAATCTTGGCTCATGGGATCCGCTGCTGCATTAAATCGGGAAAGAAAATGTGAAGATTTCATTTGGAATCACAGAAAAGCCCAAATGAAGTCAAGATGGCGAGTGGGTGCGAGTGAGAATGAGTGGCAAAATGTAATGAAAAACTTCACACTGAATGCTTATTTAGATTGTTCAAAGAAAAAGGGCTACAGGTCAAAGATCTCCAGTGCCTGAGAAGGAACAATGACTTACTAGAGCAATTGGGGGGATATGCAGTACTATCATCATCAAGCCTTGTAAGCATAAGAGAATAGGATGCCCATATAAGCCCAAGGAGAATGAGCCCAGGCCTTGCTATGAAGCACCGTGTGAATGGACAACATTGAATGAATGTCTGGACTCGATGCTGTGGAGCCAGGCTGACGTTTCCAATGCGGGGCTCTTCAGTCATGAAGCAGACTCCTAGTCCTGGAGTGGCGTGTGTACGAGAGTATGGTTGTGATGCTGTATGTGAACGCATGCAAGCTTGATTCACCTTCAGGGGGCTGATAACAAACCTAGTAGATCATCAAAATGAGTACATAAGTGTTAACTTACACTGGAAAAAAAAAAAAAAAAAAAAGAAAAAACCGTTTTAGCAGCAGACTCTGGTTTACTCCTGCAGCCTGTGTTTCTTTTTGTTTTTTTTCTCCCTCTTATTTTTTCTTTTAGTTACTTTTAATTTCTTTCCTGTATGGCTTATTAGTTGTTCGTAAAGTCAGAATTTTCAGGAAGGCTTCCCTGTGCATTTGCACCAGATGAATGTTTGATGTTACGAAAAGCTTTCCATATCATCAAAACTAATTTGTAGATTTTTGCATGAAAAATCATACATTTCCCTTCAAATAGACTGTGTTGCAGTACACAATTTGCCATAATAGTAGAAAGCGGTAAAATGTGGTAATAAAGATCTCATCCTTTTCATTTTCAAAGATAACATAAAGACCTTTGCATGTGGTAATCTACAGCATAGTTCATTTTTAGATTTTGTTGAGTCCTGTAATCAAATGTTTCCGTTGTGGTAGAATACCGTGCTGTGTTTCAATGTTACTTGTTTTCAAACTTTGTTTTCTATGAAAATGATATGGAAACTTCTAAAAATGAAATTTGGTGCATATGTACTGCTGAATAAAGACCGAAAGAGGTGTGAATAGATGTACAAATCAAGTCATGGTTTGAACACCTTTAATATGCCTAATCCAATTGTTTTAGACTTTTTATCTTAGATGTAGGCAGCCATGAACAATCTATTTTGAGCCACTTTAGAGAGACAACTTTGTATTTTTAAAACTTGCATAAAATGGATGCAAGTGTTTTTATAATTGGAGTAATGCCTCAGTTTTGAGGTTCTGCACACTAAATTAAAAGTGATGTTACAAATTTGTACAAAATGAACTCTTTATAAGGTGGCTCATTGTAGGAAATGCTGTGCCTTCCCCTTTGAGCACAAGTGTTGCATGAACAACAGTTTGCTATAATAAAACATACCAGGTTAGCCACCATTAGCATCTATATCTACCTTGTGTTTTAAAATCAACTGGTAATTCTGAAACACTGTAGAATGGATAAAGATTATTTTGTGATCATAACTCTTTGTTGGACTAGAGTATTTTTGCAGCATTCCTTGTCATCAGAAACATGGTTAAAGTTTAAAACTAGAAGCAGCGGAAACTAGCTTGTGAAATTTATCCAAGTAGAGTGCAGGCTAGGCTGTCTTGGGGAAATAAACATTAAAACTTGCAACAGTATCGTATCCGGTGTGTCTTTTTGTACCTTTTGTTTCCTCAAAAGGGGCAGGTGAACTTTTGAAGAAAGCTCTGTTCCTCATGGGTCTGCCAAGTCTTTGGTTGATGCTGCCTGCCCCATATCTCTATGAAGTGTACTATGCTATGCAGGGTTGAGACGAATAGTTACTTTGATGTAAATGTTACAAAATATTTACTTTTACCTGATTACATAGTGCATATTCTCTAAATAAACTAGAGCTTTATCCATGCAAAGTGTAGGTATCCTCTGAAGGAGCTGGAATTATGCTTTTTAACTTTGAAGACCCTAAAAGATCCGTGTGAAGGGTGTGCAGTAGGAAATTGTAGCGTTGTTCCAATTGCTTGCTGTGGGGGTGGGCAGAAGAAGAGATGTATTTGTAGAAATGTGTATGTTTGAGAAGGAAAAAAAAAAGCTCTTGGGAAAGAACTTGTGTGGCACCCCTCCTTCCCATAGGAAGTGTCACCTCTTGGCGCTTCCTTTGCTCTGGTAGATTTAAGACAAGTTGCCCTTTTCGTCCGATTCTCATTACCTGCAACCTGCGCAGTTCCATGTTGACATCCAAGTACTTGGTGTTTTTTTTCACCTGCTTCTGAGCAAGTCCCTTCTCTRTTTGATTATTCTACGAGTGCATTTAAAGCTTAAATATTTGGCCTCCACAGGGTGGCAGCCTTCCTGGTTCTTCAGGAGCAGAGCTATGAAGTAAAACTGAGGTGAGTTTGTCTAATATTGTTTTTTGAAAGCTGTGGTTATATGGGGGAGTGCATGGGATAGAAATGACAACCAGCTTCACCTAAAAATTCCTTCCTACCCCCTTCTTTTTTTTTTTTTTTTTCTTCCTCTTTCCCAGTACTGGTTGGAAGTGGAGTAACTCCTGATCCTCTGAAGTCTTTTTGCCATTTGCAGGATAAATGGAGATTTGAGTAGAAAAATACCTCTTCACAAAAGTGTATTTTCTGGCAGATGACCAGCATTTGCAGTAAGTTGTCTCCTCCTGCTGCTTTGGTGGTGGAAGAGCAAGTCCCCCTGTAAGAAATATTAGTGTCTTTATTTTGTGTTAGGCCTGTGTTAGTGAACAGCCTGCAAGGATTTGATAACAAAATATCAATTAAATGTCTCCTATCTCCTTGAGCAGGAGAACCTGATCACTTCCTTGTAACCAGGGCTCCCCTCACGGGATTTTGAATGCCTACTGAAAGTGGTAGATAGGCCATAAAAAAAGGAGAGTGGTTCTCTTTCCAAACTAAATTTAAGAAATTTGTATTTTAGCAGTTCCTCCTAGCTAAAGGAAAGCTATATTGCATAAATTGCTAGATTACTTCTGCTGGTTTATAATTAATCTGTTTGCATCAGTACTTCTAGACTTTGCAGCTTCTTACTCTGKTTTCTCAGTTCTGGGTGTCACCAAATCACTGGCAGGAAGGCTGGTCACAAGGCTGGAAGCAATTACAGAAGTCATACATCTGGATCAAATAGACTTTATGAAAGGAAATTTAGTAGCAGAAAACGTGTAAAGTTTACTAACTCTTGCYTAGTAGTCAATAAGTTCTAGCTGCTGTTAGAACAGGTCTCAGAAGGCACACAGGGTGCTTTGAAAGAGTTAACACCACTTCAGCATCCACAAACGTGGCTGAAATCTTAGTTTGCTTAAAGAAGCCCCACTTCTGCTTGTAAATCTTGTGAAAAGGGGATTGTGTATTCTGCTGATCTGAAGTGGTTGAAAGCTAAGATTTGTTTTTGACAAGCTGTTGATGCTGTTGTACGTGAATACCTTTGATACTTAAATATTTAAACTTTTTGAAGACAGCATGAAACTTACTAGGAAGTGGCAGATGTGGGAGGCTTTAAGACACCAGCCATTTATAAATGCTTTACAGAAGCTTTTTATCTTGAGAGGAAGGTGCTGGTCACACACCATATCATTAGCAGATCATGGTGTGAAGCAGGATGGCCTTTCAAGAATGGCATTTTTCTTCACATTAAATGTTGCTTCATCTGGAGGACTCTTGCATGCATTTAAGGACCAAAACAAAAAACAAAAAGGTGGCTTATGTTCTTGTGAGCACTAGTTAATAATATTGAACATAATTGACAAAAGCTCCCTTGTTAGATCTGCTTCTGCAGCTTTTTCCTCAAGACCATTCTGTTGGTGGCGGATGGTTGTGGGTCGGAGGGAAGCTGTGAATACTACTTTACTTTCTACTTTGTACAAAAACAAAAGCATTCTCAAGTTGTGCATCTGTGATATTTGGTCTCTCTTTTGGACACTGATGATCCTCTAGGACTAGGGCTCCTCTGATATTTAGGTCCTTGAATAACATAGCAATGCGTTCCTAGCACCGCCTCAAAAATTAAGGGTATTGATGAGCTGGAGAAACATTTTCCAGGAAACATGAAACTGATTTAGACCTTCAGCTTGGGGCTGGGGGACTGTTCCAATACCATGGACAGCTACAGCCTTCTGGCCTGGAAAATAGGGTTGTTTTTAAATATAATGACTGCCACAGATATCTTTCTCGGCTCCTATACTGTTTTGATGTGCCTCACCAGGCAAATTAGATGTACTTTTTGAATCTATACTTCCCATTCAGCCTGTGAGCACAGACTAAAGCTCAAGTACTTTGGCTCCAAATATCTCTGTGCTTCCAGAATGTTCACGACTAATCTTTCCCAATTCAGAAAGCTGGATATTATCTTTGAGGGGCATTTCCAGTACTGGGTTGTTAACATTTCCACCATGTTTACTGCTGCCGTTTGTAGTGTGCGTTTCCCYGCTTTAGTTACACCTGAAATATGAGTGATGGGAGCTGCTTAAGCAAGATTATCCTCAGCATTTGAGTTAAGGATGTCTCTGCAGACAAGGATTGGAGTTGTTTGAATTCACTGTAGTCCTTTACTGTCAGCTTAGACGCTGCAGAAAGCTGCGGCCCTCGAAGATGCAGTTGTTGCGGTGAACGCGACAGTGTCTGGGCTCCCAAGTTTAATGTTTCTGCGTAGATACTAACAATTGTGCAAGAATATTTTCTGCGGGTTAAGACAGAAAAATGGATGAAATATTTCTGAAGACTACTATTATTTCCACCTTTAACTTTCAGGCTTGGCTTTAAAGGGAATCCTTGAAAAAAGCTTTCAAGCATGAGCCTGAGAACTTGCAATCCTACTAAACCATGGAAAAATCAGAGACATGGTAGTGAGGGGTATGTTTTAATCACATATCATCATTTTCCAGAGTCCTTCCCGTGGTAATCCCATATTTCATGTGTCCCATATAGATGAATARCATTGTTACTTCTCCCATTGATAACATCCTTTGCCTCTCTGTGTCCGAGATGCTTATTTGCTGAAAATGCTTAAATGCTGTGCTTGAATTGTGTTTGGATAAACTTAATCTGTCATGAAGCTGAGATTCTTCAGCACCTGARTCTAAGTTAGGCCTTCATGGTCCTGACTTTTCTCTCCTGCTGTGAATTCCTGGATCCTTCCTGTAATGGCTTAGGAATCCTGGAACTTTTYTGGCCTGGATCAGAACCAAGGTAACTAACCAGACATGAAAAGGAAATAATCTTTCTGGCTTGAGTACAAGGGTATGGAGGATGTACGAGAGTGCATAAGTACCGAAAGCCAAGATAAGTACAAGGGGCAGGGACCTGCTCCTCTTCTATGGATAAGTTTGTGGACTAAGTTTGTGCAACTTTTAAAACCTGGTGATGTCAACACTTGCAGTTTTCCATGCTTGAAAGAATGATATGGTAAGGTGGTAGAAACTGAAGGGGAGAATTTCCCCAGTTTACCCCAAAATGCTATAAAACTTAACAGCATGAGATGAACTGATCTTATGTATCTATTGCTACATAGCAAAGTAGGAAAATAATGAACAGCACTAGCTCCGGATGGCTTATATTTTATTACAGACCAAGTAATGACAGAAACAAAACAACTCCTTGCACTTGCAGTCTTGTAGCATCCTCTTTGACCCCTTTCTGAGAATAGTTAGGGARTGAGAAATAAGCCAGATGAAGGCTGGTAGGAACATTGCTGCTTTGAGACATACGGAATGGTCTGAGGGAATATAAAATGAAGCAGGAGAGCTTGAGAAATAAATACACTGTAAATTTTAAAAAAAGTTTGCACAATAAATACATAAAATATTTTCATTCCTACTACAATGTTACCAATATGCAGACCTGTTTCAGTATGGAAATGCAGCCGGAATAAAACATCCATGCTGTTTTGTTCTTTAACTGTTTTAAAACAAACCTAAGAGCTAAACTGAACAACTGGACTGGTTATTTGAAGGTCCATATCCCTTATTTTAAGATTAACGTTAAGAAACTTAACCAAGTATTTGATCTTGCTTTTTTTTTTTCTCCTCATTTTCCTGTTGCATCTCTTCCAGAAAATATATTATTTTCTTCTGGAAGACATGTAAAGTCCTGTTCTCAGGTAAGGAAAGACCTAATGTTTTCTTCTAACCATTTGTTTTTAGGAAGGATTTGATTTATGAACATATCGTAAGTTTCTTCCCTTCCAAATTTTAATTTATACTGCTTGCTTGAAAAGTCTTACTGTTAAGTGTCTGTATAGCTGATTTGAGCAGGCTTCATGGGGCAATGTAGTTGGCATCTCCAGGAAGAGAAAAGGTCTTTCCTTTGCCAGAGTGGCCTTTTTCTTCATTAATGAGAGTTTCTCTCTGCTTCATGTTCATTCTTTCTTTCTCTGAAGGCCGTTCCATTTTGGGGTAATTTTGCTATGGATGCTAAGGATACTGTGACATTTGGGCTTGTATCTCTACCTGTTTGGAAGAGAGACTTGCCTCTGCTTGGAAGTCAGTTTCCTTGTGGATGAAACTGATGCCTTCYTCCACTTGGAGTTCGATTTCTCCTTGCTTCAAGGGAAGACCTTTCTCTACCTGGAGCTCAGCTTTCCCCCGGGTGAAGCGACTGCTCACAGCCATGGGTAGCGTGGTCTCTTGTTGCAGTGAGGAAGAAAAGCAGCACAGGTTGCTATCCCCATCTCTCTCAGGAGTGGGGCATGAGCTGCTCTGTTGCTGCTTGACCCCAGGATGGCAGAGGGACGCAGCAGGTTCCACCTGCGCCAGGGCCTTGCAGCTGCAGCCTGTCGCAGTGACTGCRAGGATAAAAGCAATGATGCAAAAGATGACGCTCGGCCCAAGGTTCGAGGAGAGGCCCCAAGGCTGCAGCTCCTGCTTCGTGCGGAGGTTGTTCCTTATCAGCACCAGGAGGCTGGCGCTCGTGGCCACAGCKACGGCAGTGAAGAGGGCGGCCAGGCCATGCAGCAGCGGGGCCACCACTCTGCCCCGTGGCAGCCCCACRAAGTCGAGCAGCAAAGCGCTGCAGCCGCTCAGGATGCTGAGCAGGCAGCACATGGCTATCAGGTGCAGCAGGGTGAACTCTGTCCAGCCCAGCAGCAGCGAGAGAGACGAGAGGTGCCTGGGGTTGAGGGTCCAGGCAGCCCCCAGCACCAACTGGATGCTTTTGCCCTGCACCACGACCCAGCTGGGGTAGGCGCCGGCCGTGCACATGATGCTGAGGGACAGGCACTGGGCCACGGCGGCTGCCAGGCTGCCTCTCCTGCCTCGCACCAAGCAGTCGTTGTGCAGGTCCTTGTTGCCCTTCGTGGAGCTGCCTGCTGCTTCCATGGTGCCCTGCAGACCTGCTCCATGTGTGAGGGTTATGTTAAGGAATTAYTGAAGCTCTGGTATTACCAAAAGTAGCAAGTCAATTATCCATATTTTAAGTTGTTCATTTCCTTGGCAGGCTTTTGAATGAAAATATAGCATTATTGTCTATTTGCCAAGTTACTGATACTGCTTCATACTTATTCATAGATCTGTTTTTATAATCCAGAACAAAACAGATTACAGTTGTAACCAAAATCTTACTTTAAATATACTTGAAAATGATAGTGGCTCTCTGATAATCAGCCAGTGGCCTAGATAAATTAATTTTGCAAAAGTAGCTTGCATTATAAAAATCATTAATTGGCAGTCTGACTATATCAAAAACTGAATAAGCTTGATAACATATTCACTTGCAGGGAAATAATGTTCAGTTTAGTGGTTTAGAGCTATAGCTAATTCACTGCATAGGAAAGTAAAAAATTATGTTGCAAGTTGTAATGAATTTGCACACACAGAAAGACCAATTATAGCTATATGCATTATAAACTGTATCTAACAAATTTTAAGGTTAATCCACTATGGCATGAAACTTTATCATTCCAAACGTAAGACCAGATGTTTTCCAAGATATTTAAGTTTATATCAATGTTTCCCTTAAGACAGATGTTGAGGTAACTCTAGAATGATGATGTGTTATAGTTTACCTTATAATATTAAATGGGTTACATGGCTTTTTCAAATTTATTGTAAAAATAGTGTCTGAGAATAACTTTGCAGTTTTAGTGTAGCTCAATTAATAAATACAGAATCTGAAATATTTTACAAAAATCTGAAAATTTTACAAAACACTGTACTTTGACAGATAAAACATTGGGATTTTCAAGTGTAACATACCAGTAACATGTCATCAGTAAGAATAATGCTGATATGTTCACTTTCTATTACTTTCACAGTCTGTTTTTGCTTAGCAAGGGGACAAGATGCTCTGTAGTCTTTATTTATAACCACCTAGTTTTAAATTAAGACAATTTTGCTTCTCAACCTTATCTTCTGTAWCCAAACTAGGTAAGTATGGTTAAATGGGAACTGAACATTATTACTTACTTTTTTTTTTTGAACTTCTGTAATTAGTAACTGAGAGTTTGTTCTACTGAAGTAGATGCTTCCTCATGCCTCCTGGTTTCTAGCYTCAGGTTGAATTTCTTCCGTCTTGCAGAGAAAAATCTGTCTGGTAAAATGTTGACTACAAGTACACAAAACAGTACAAAAGAAAAACACAGATAATGCCAAGGTATTTTCACTTTTGTTTGCACTGCATTTCAGTACTGATGGTGGTGACAGCAAGTGAGTCATTCCTCATTAGCAATTTTCCTGGTTCTTACCGTTTGTTTTCTTCTTTGTCTAGCTGAATGAAAATTCAGCTTAAAAACACCATATTTTAGTTTAAACTCCAGACAAAAATATGCATTTTAGCAAGTAGGTACTTGAAATGACACTATACCTGCTTCACTAGGTCATAGCTTGCAAATCAAATGTGAAGTCACTGAAGGCCCTGGGGCTTCATGAATTACTTCCTGTGTTACCCTTTAAAGGGTAAGTATCAGCAGTATTTGCATAACTGTTAGTTTAACTTGATTTTACCATTTTAAATGTTTACCTTTCTGGGGATTGGTGCAAGAGGACTATATACCATGCAGCAGCTGTAGGAGATGCCTGATTAGAACCCCTTTGGCAGCAGCATGCTCMGCTCCACCAATCGAGGGTTGTCCACCTTAAGCTGGGGCAGTCAAACACATCTGTGCTCTTGCATATTCAAATCGTGTGTTTCTCAACTGTTACAGCTCATTCATTTCAAAACACTCGGACCTTATTGGCAAAAGCTGCTCTCCTACTCACGTCACCACCTGAGCAGTCTATTTGTGCAACTRCTATCCTGGGAAGCTGCTCCTGAGGGTTCCTGGTGGCTCCTCTGGGCTTGTCTCATCGTCTGCATTACAGTAAATGATGCGAGTAACCAGACTCACTGTTCAGCTATGACTCCCTTTACCTGCGCCAGTCCTAAGCGCAGTAGTAAACAGGTTTCTTTATAGTCCCCTGCTGGAGCCCTCCCTACCTCCTCACTGTGCAGAGCTCCTCAAATTTATTTAAGCCTCCTATGTCTTGTTGGGGRAAAAGAGCCCCAGTAGCCTGTGGGAAAAGCACAAGCGAGAGCAGAGTCGCCGGCCCTGGTACCGGCCTGGCCCGGGGCTGGGGCTTGAGCGCCGGCGGGGCCGTTTGTGCAAGCAGGAACTATAAAAACCCCGCGGGGGCGCAAGGCYCTTCCAGCCGTTAACGGCCGCCGGCCCTGCGCGCGCGCCGGGATTTGAAATCGGCGGCGCGCGCCCCGCCCCGCCCGTTGACTTTCGAAGGGAGCCGTTGGCGGCGGCCGTTGGCGGCGCATGCGCGTGCGCGGCCGGGGCGCTGAGGCGAGCGCCGCGGCGTCTCCGCGCGCCGGGGCCGCTGCGAGGGGCTGCGGCGGCTCCGCTCCGCTGCGCTCCGCTCGGCGCTGCGGGACCGGTGAGTGAGGGGGCGGGCGGGCTAGCGGCCGTGCGGCCCGGCCACGGCGGCTCTCCCCGGCAAGCGAGGCGTGAGCCGGGCCGGGCTGGGACGGAGCGGGGCTCGCCGCCTCGCTCCCCTCTCCGCGGAGACCTGCGGGGACGGCGCTGGGTTTTGGTGCCGCCCCTTGCCTTGCCGCGCTCGCTAAGGCGCATAGAGCTGTGTCTTTGAGGTTGTACTTTGTTTTGGGGCGTAAAAGGGTGTTTTAGAWGTGCTTGACCTGCTGCCGCAGCCCTGACGTGCCTCATCCGTGCCTGTTGTGGAACAGGATCCGGTGGCAATAACCTGGGCTTAGKAGATGGGCACGGCTGTGGATGATGCTCAGGTGTCGCACAGCAAAAAGCTTATTCCGTATTCCTCATTCTCCCTGCTATCTCTGTGACCTCAAAGCTGATGTTATCCTTTTTTTTAATGGCCGTTAATACAGCTGTGATTCTTAACGTGACTCGTAAACTCATCTTCAAGGGCGTGCAATAGTTTGGAGGTGTGTTGTGCTGAAAATAGTTGGGAAACTGATGGAGACATTCCTCTGTGGGGGCTGCCATGTGTCAGAGGGTAGGAAGGGGCTGGCACAGGTCTCCCTGACATCCACGTGTAGGTAGGTGGTAGGTGACAGGTTAAGGCATTGGATGCCCCTCCTCGTAGCCCCGYTGTGTGATACAGCGTGGCAGGTGACAGAGGAGCAGTGCAGGCCACAAGCTTTGGGASAGCGCAAGAGATGAGGACTGGAAAGGGCAGGCTGGGCCGAGCAGCAGAGCGTTTTTTGAGTGCCGTAACTCGTGCAAGTTGGTAGGAGCAGCCGAGGAGCTGTCGGAACGATGTCAAACAGGGAGCTGCCTCATCAACCTGATGAGATAGACAGGCTCCTCAACCGTGTCCATCCCTTCCCGTTTTGCGAAAAACGCTGCATAAAGGTCTAAGTGATTTACAGGAGCTGTGGTAGGAATGGGAGCTAGTGATGAAATGTAACTCTTAAGGCAGAAAAAGATCAAGACTAGAACATTCCTGACTGAGAGTCGCTGTGACCCGAGGGTGGGATATTTGTGGCATGGAGTAAGCGGCCCAACTGAAACGGACTTGGAAGCAGCATTTTAAATTGTGGCTGTTGTTTCTAACTTCTGGTGCCTGGTATCTTGTTACTGCTGTCATAACTCAGACAGTGCTGGCAAAGGACATTCCCGTCCTTTGGAATAGCTGACAGAGGCTGGAGCTGCAGCTCGGCCACTTTTTTTGAGAGCAAGTTCTGTCACCCTCTACCACAAAGGTGACCTGTAAATAGAAAACACTGTCCCTGTCGTTAATCTCTTTTTTTTCATAGTGTGAACTGGGATTGCTGTGCTAGTGAATGTACGGGAGGACATTCACAGACTGCTATGTTACAGGGAGTTAGTATTTAAGTGGGGTTAGGTATGAGAACATAAAAGTATCAATGTCATATGTTTTAAGAACAAAAATAGAGAATATTTCAGGGGAAAACGGATGTCATCTTTTGTGATAGTCAAGCAAAAAAAAATAAGCAATAGTTTTCAATATCCTTCAGTGTAGAACGGTGGTGTTCTACACTGTTCTAGTCCTTGTTAGAGTTGACTTTTGTAATAAAGTAGGTAGATGTTTGCTCATCTAAATGGGCATGCCTTGTATTCCAGTTAYAGCTGTTTCTAAACAACATAACTAGTTAGGAAGACAGTGGCCGGATCTGTAGATGTGGAATGCACTGTTATTGATGAGTACACCGTGTAACATTGAACTGATTAAAGTATTATTTTAAAATTGGGACTTGTGAAATGTATACAAAGAAAAGCTGTTTTATGAAACATTGGACTTTTTTGGCTGCAGAAGGTGTATGTACTTGGTATGTTAACGTGTTTTGAACTAGTCTACAGTATCGCTAAGAGGATAAAATCCTAGCCAGTTAGCAGGCCTTCTATTGCTAAAATATTTCTGAAAGCAACTATGCTTTTGAAATTCCTTCTAATCTGTGATTTTTCTTGTACTTAAAAAGATATATTGAGGACTGGGAAGTTTTGTGATTCTTCTTTGTTTCTCTACCAAAGTTATTGGAATACCTAAGGAGAAATATCTGTGTAGCAGAGCAGTTTGTCCACTTCTTAATACATTTTTTTTCCTTCTGGAAAACATATACACCTTATTTTTTCTGTTTTCTTCGCTGTGTGATGTTATGGTCTGCCCCTGTCTTTTTTACTTGGTGCATTTTGTCTCTGTTTCTGATAATTTATTTCCACTGTTGTCCGTGGAACCGCTCCCTTGTGCTGCTCCCAGAGCAGGCTGAAATTGTGGGGACATTTCCACCTCTTGCCTTCCTGGTATCCTAGGGGGAACAAGCAGGAGCACTGCTTATTGTGAAAGAATTCAAACATTGCAGGGTACGCACAGCCAGGATCAGCGCAGTCATTTGAGGAGTGCTTTGAAATATATGAATGAATGGGGAGCACGGAAATGAAGCTGGTTCCTCTGTGGCGGCGCGCGGTTGGAGCCGGGGGGTCCCACACCGGCTGCTGCCTTGGGGGCCCTGGCAGTGGCGGCTGCTGAAAGCCAGAGCCCCTGGCCTCAGTGGCTGCTCTTCCACTTGCTCTGGGCTGCTCGGAGCAGGCAGCTGCTGTCACTTTCCGATTTCTTAGTTGCCGGGGAAACAGGGCAGTCTGTTTCTGTGGAAATGGGGATTTGACTCTGTGGCTGGCGGCTGTGAGGATCCCGGCTTACGAAACAGTCCCAGCACTGCCGTGCACGCAGCCTGTGCGCCGGCCGTGCCCGGGGCTGTGYGCACCGGAGCGCTCGCAGCAGGATGCAGGTGTTTGCGAGGGGAGGACACCGTTAAGTTAAAGGCTGTTCTCTTCTGGAAGTTTGCAAGCAAATCCTATGCAGTTTAAGCCATTTTTTACAGAGTCATTTTATCTTGTCCTTTGTGTAACTCAAGAGATCTGAACCTCCATGCATTGAAAGGAAAGTTTCTCTCTTTTAGCAGTTYGTTTGAAGAGAACAAATACCTTAAATCTAGGAGAAAAATGCATCGAAAGCTTGACTTGGGAAAGAATAGATTTTTAAATATAAGGAGTTTTCTGAACTATATTMGTCCCATATATATAGGAGAAAAAATAAACGAGGGTATTTGCTAGGACGGTTTTTCGTAACTGTGAGTAAAAACGTAACAAATCCTAATTAAGTGAAGGTGGCGTTCCTGAGAGTCTTGCTAACTTGAAATCTGTATTGTTAAACTCATACATCTATTTACTGTGGTAATGCATTGAATTTTCAAAAGATTATTTAGTGGAGTAAATTTATTGTTATTCTTACTTTTATTATTGGTTCATTAGTTTTGTTTCAGTGTCTGGAACACATCCTGTACAAATAYGAACTATTAACATAAACCGAAACCACCTCCTTTTGCCATAGTGACTGATTGGGAAAGCTGGAAAATAAAGGGCTGTGGCTGTCTGGTACAAAGACAAATATTTCCTAGTCTTTAGTAAGAATGGTATGTTGCTGAATAGATTTAGTGTCAAAATGCTGTGAATGTCTTTGCTAAATGACTAGTAGTACTGTATACTAATTCTGTGTAGCGGGGAGAATACACTCTTTGGTCAGCAATAAAAGCCAGCACTATCATTCAGGTTTGAAGGAGTAGATTTAAGAATGGTGTCGGTTTTTAGTGGGTTAGTTTCTTCCAGCTTCTATCAAGACCTGTTTGAGAAGCTGAGYTCAAATAAATGAACTAGTGCTTTAACTTAATTAGCTAAAAAGCTATCTCAAGTTTTTTTTTTTAAATTAATCAAAATATTTGTTGAATTTAAAGCCGACTTACTAAAAAAGGTAACATATAATAGCTCTTYGAGTTGCACTCCATGTTTTGGGTAATGATGACCTATGACTTTGGATGATTTTTAATCACTCTCTTAATCATGGTTTAAAAGAAATATTCTCAAACCCTCAGGCTTACACACTTTCTCTTTGGGGTACACTAATAATCTGAATATAGGGAGATAAACATGTTTGTAGCAGGACATTCTATTTACAACCAGAATAAGCTTTCCTGAAGTCAATAACTGACTTCACCCTCAAAGAACCTGAGTCTTAAGAATTTAGCTTTTGATGTTCATCAGTTTAATTCTGTGACTTCTGCAGGAAATATGCCACTTATTTACTGTAAATTGTTCAGTGCGTAGTGCCAAATTTAATCCTTACTGTTTTTCATTATTCCAAGTGCAATTTATGATTTTATCTGTAAAGAAAAATGTGATTAATGATACAATTTAAAATAAGTTAATTTAAAATAAAGCAAATCTTACTAGTCTTGATGTCGATAAGCAATCAATAAAAGTATGTTACTGCATTTAAAAAGATGGGCACATTAGCCTCCTTAAGTATAGCTCATAGCCGGTTATTTTCCTGACTSTGTGAAGCTGTGAAGCTGCATGATTGTCGCTCTGGGATTCAGGGTTAGGCCCTAAGAAAGGAGAGTCTTTACCAAATATCAATCCCTGGACTGTTTCTTTTTGCAGTGTAGCTGAAAAAGTATAGCTAAATGCTTGATCTAGAATTCACAAGAGGGRCAGGAAAATGTGACACAGAGATAATGAAAGTTGGAACGACTTTCCTTATCATAATTATTTTTAAAAAAATCATAATCATTTATTATGAAAGCTTATATTAATGAAAGCTATATTTTTGATTTTGTGGTTAGAGTATCCCAGGACTTAAAGCAGTAACACTATAAATTTAATTGCAATTAATACTATTGTATTTAAAGACAAGTAAGTTAGACTCTTGTTTGTGCCAGAAGCTGTATGTAACTTTTAAGAGGTCTGACTGCTTAATACTCTGATGACTATTTATATTACAAAAGTAGTATGTGAGAAAAGTTACAAAAAATAATCGGTTAGTGTCACTATTACTCTGTTCTTATGTGGAAAAAGCTACTCATAGTGCAAGAGAATTTTCCTAATTCTTGGGTTATTTAGAAACTTTAGCTCTGACTTTTATTGCTCTCTGCTACTGGTTCTTAATGTTCAAAGAAAATCACCTAGCCAGACAGAAGTCTCCTAGATTTCTTCTTCCACCTTTRGAAGTAGGAGGTGGAAATGGGAGACCGGTATCTAGTCACTAAATACAGATTGTAATGTGATATATATGTTAGACTGTTGCCTGCCCCTTCTGCCCACCTCAGTCAAAATACTGATATGAGTTAGGTTACTTGCTGCTAAATTTTATGCTGAGGTGCTTAGATAAAAAATATGTTAAACTGTTTTAACTATTGTTTTGTAGAAAGAGATTATTTGCTTTTTGTTTTCTTTTGCAGGACATGCATCACTTTGAGGAAGAATTAACATGTTCCATTTGCTATAGTATATTTGAAGATCCACGCGTTCTGCCTTGTTCCCATACGTTTTGCAGAAATTGTCTGGAAGGGGTTATTCAGCTCTCAAGCAACTTTTCCATCTGGAGACCGCTGAGGGTTCCACTGAAGTGTCCAAACTGCAGGAGCATCGTTGAAATTCCTGCAACTGGTACTGAGTCGTTGCCCATCAACTTTGCATTAAAAGCTATTATTGAAAAATACCGGCAGGAGGATCAGCCTGAGGTCGCGACCTGTAGCGAACATTACAGACAACCGTTGAACGTTTACTGTCTTTTGGATAGAAAATTAGTGTGTGGCCACTGTCTTACAATAGGAAAACACAATGGCCATCCCATAGATGACCTTCAAAGTGCCTATATAAAAGAAAAGCAGACTTCTGGAAAACTTCTTGAGCAGCTGACAGATAAACACTGGTCCGATGTATGTTTGCTGATTGAAAAGTTGAAAGATCAGAAATCCCAGTGTGAAAATACTATTCAAGATGATAAAAAGGCGGTATTGCAGTATTTTAAGAAACTTAATGATATTTTGGAGCATAAAAAACAAGCACTGCTGACTGCACTGGATGAAATTAATAAGCACATCTTGGAAGAGTATGAGCCTCTAATTGAAAAGTTGAAACAAATAAGGGAAGAACAGCTTGAATTAATGTCCCTGAATACATCTATTCAAAAAGAAGAGTCGCCGCTTGTTTTTCTTGAGAAGGTTGATGACTTGCATCAACGTATAAAAGTTCTGAAACAAAAGGAGCTGCCGGACATTAAGCCTGTTGAGATCTATCCAAGGGTAGGGAACCTGCTCAAGGATGTGTGGTCTAAAACTGAAATCGGCCAGATCAACAAGATCCTTACTCCAAAAATAAAACTGATTCCAAAAAGGAAGTTATGCAGCAAAAGCAGTGAAAAAGGAGGAGGAAAATCTAAAGAGTTATTTCAAGTTATAAATCCACTAACAGTCACGCTACTTTTTATAATAATAGCAGTAACTTTATTTTCACTACACAAGCCAGTATCATCAATTATAATTGAAATTACTCCCACTTACATTTCGGAATTCCTGCTGTTTGTTTATGAGGATTTCTGCACCCATTTGCAGACTGTAGTGGATGCACTGTGCCATATGCTTAATTTACTGATGAATTTTTTAGGGAAAATCGCCTATTTTTGAATAATGCAAATAATTGGATTGAAGGTCGGTATAAGAATTCATGATACCCATTTTAGGCTTCTGCTCAAAAGCTGGGTTGTTAGTATTACACATCTTCCTCTTTCCATACCTTTCTTTTACTGTTGTGTTCAGTTTTTCATTTCACCTAGGTAGAACATCTAGAAAATTTAACTCTTCATTGAACGAGAAGACTTACAATGAAGAGGCTCATAACACTATGATAGGTTTGTAGATAACAAATAGTTGGTTTTCTATTTGCTTAAACCAAAAGCTTGTCAGGAATCATGTCTGTCTAAGAAAGCTCTAAGCAACTTTCAAATTATAACCTAGAAGAGTTTGTTGAAACTCTTCAAATACCTCCTATTCTCCCCCTGCCCTTGCTAACCTAGTTTATGTAGTTTTGTAATAAAAGCACTACAACACTTAATGAAGGAAAAAGAAAGAAAAAACATCAACCCCCAAACAGGTTAGTCTGAGAAGAATCACTCTGTCTCCAGTTCTGGTGTACATAAAGCTCATATTTTGTATTTTACTGACCTCTCTCTAAATGTATTTTAATTCATATATCTGTGGTCTTTTWATCATGTATTAGCTGACCTGGGTTTCATTTTGTTGATTCCTGATTATTAGCGGATGATATAACTCCGTCATTTAAAAAAAAATTGTGTCTAATAGTCTCGTGTCTTTCAAGTAGTTATCACCATTTTTCAGATCAGTGTCTATAATACTTCTGGTAAAATGCTGAATACAATTTTTGGTTCCAAGTGTGTACAAATTATATATAATTTAGTCTAGCAGGAAGTTCTCACTGCTTACAAAAATGAGCCCTGATTTTTTGCAATATCATTTAATCTGTAGTGAAAATAGATAAGTATTGTAATAAATAGCAAAATGCTCATTGAAATCAGTGGTATAAGGATGTGAAATGTTGTTAAGAAGCCATAAAATAATTCGAGAATGAATATAARTTTATTTTCAGCTTTTCATCACAAATAATGGGGGATCATTACATTGATGTTGAACAGAAAAGATGCCATTTTATTCTATAATCAAATATTTATTAATGCAGTTGGTTTCTTTTGATGAGATGCTCCAGTCTGAACTGCGCTCAGCAGTAAAACTCCCAGTGAAACTAATTTTTGACCTTCAGTTATTAATAAGATGATTACATTGTGTACTGGGATAGCCTTTAAGTGTTGCAATTAGAATATCAGAACACAGATGAGCTCCCAATTAATTCACTAATGCTTATTAAAAAAAAAAAAGAAAGTATTTACCATGTTTAATTGTATTTGATTTGTTGAAAATGAAAAGAAATATATACTGATTCCTTGGCTGTTACRTATTTTTATATTTTTAAATAATAAAAGTTGTTTAAATAGAGATTGGATTCTGTGCCTAGGCAGTAGCTGCTTGACATTTAAAAAAAAAACCCTTTGGAAGCAAAATCTGCCCCTTCCTTGCAGCAGACGGTAACGGGCATCCTGCAAGGACGAGAGCCGAGCTGAGCAAGGTTAATCCCCGACTCTGGAGCTGAGATAAATCAATTTAAGTCAAAATGAAGCTTCTCAGAATACAGGTGTCCTGATATTGATAAAGTGGCAATTAGGCCTAGGCAAACAAATACTGCCTGCCGTGATACTGGGCAGCCGGATGGCTTTTGTTATTTCTGTTGGAAGGAAATGCAGGAAGAGAGCAGTGGCCTTTGCCTGCTTGTAAGGAACAGCTCCAGTAACCTGTTAAGTTGCCTGTAATCTCTGTTAGAGATAAAAAGGCAAATCCCATTAACTGCGAAGGACAGTGTTTAGGAGTATTTCACATGCACTCATTAATTTCCAAATCAATTATTTGCATTTGTCTCTACTTTTTTTTTTTTTTTTGAGATCCCATTGGTCAGTTATTATTTGACATGTAAGTCTTGAACCTGGTGCTAAGTGTATATCCACTACCAAATAAGGCTTCTTGTTTTTTTTTTTCTGACAGTTAAAATCTCATATGTAGTTTATAATGCAATTTTATTTTTCCAGATGCTATGAATTTATAAAATACCTTTACCACTGATTAAAACACTTAGTATTTGTACTTATCAATGTACTATATATTTTAATAAGTTTGCATACAAATAAAATGTATTCTTACAATAGGCTTGGCGAATACCTTGATTTCCTTGCTGCCTAGAACCCTCCCTGTAATCCTACAAAGCGCTGAAAGCCAGGGCTGAACTGTGAGCTGGGAGTAGCAGATTCTCCTCCCAGCTCCCACCATTTTCTGCAGCAGGAATTTAGGAAGATTCCAACCTCTAATTCGGTCTAGCTGGACTCTGTGCTATTGCATCTTGCCAGGCCCAGGCTTGTTTTTACTTATTTTTTCCAGCCGTAGTGGTGAGTTAATGTGGCTTTGTGCAGTTTCTGGTGAGCTTTGGTCTTCATTCCTGTGTTTACGTGTGGTGCTGCAGAGCCACAACACCCGTCACGCGACGAGGGAGCGATGCCTGCAGCGAGGCCGTGGAGCTGCACGTAAGACTTCGTTCTGGTGAGACTTGTGTCTTATTAGTTCAAGCTGCTCTGGGGGATACAGGCGAACAAGGTGCCTGCCTGAACCTTTGTGTGGACCTGTTGGCTAAAGGCAAGTGTCTGGCTGTAGCACTGTAGCTGTACGTTTGATGCACAAGRCAGAAGCTGGTGACTGTAGCAGAGTAAATCCCAGTGTTTGGTGAAGCTTGTTTGGCTGCTGTCAGGCTGCTGCTGTCTGCAGTCCAGCATGGAGTAGAACCATCCCATGCATAAATCCAGGTTCTTGGAAAACATCTTTCCCAGCCTATTGAGCAGCCTGAGAGGCCAGTACTGAATTTCTGTGCAACAAGATGCTGTTTCTACTGTTGTGATGGTGCAGAAAAGAGCCAATAGTGGGAACTGGATAGAGAACAGGGCATTTTTCACTGTGTGGTAACCAAGGGTAAGGAGAGCTGAAGATGGTCACCGAGCACTTAAGTATTGTTGGAGAACCCCTTTTCCAAGATCTACTCTTGCAGATGAAAATGACAAACAGTTGTCCCTATTTACTATCTCCTACCGTTAATAATTAATTACCTTATCCTGGCATAGTTTTTCTTACTCCTCAGCAAATTTCTAAGATATCGTCTCAGTCCAAGCTCAGAAGGAAGCTTCTTTGTTACTTGTCTCCTTCTCTGCAGTGCTCCCGTTTGTCCTCAGCTTGCCTCTGTGCCTTTCTCCTCTGGTCCTGCAGCTGGTTTATTAATTATTCCTGCACTGTTCTTCAGAAGAGCTTCCTCTTTGTACTGTACATTATAGTTCTTGGCTAATCTTACTCATAAATTTATTCTGAAGCTGTACTGCAAGGTTTTATAGCTTCATTTTAATATGGAAACACCAAAACCACGCACAGCACTTGAGCTGGAGCTCACACGGTGGCAGAGAAATGCTTTGCATTTTTTTTGTACTTTCTAACATGCTTTGCTTGAACTGACACAGAGCTGGGGTGTTCTGAGGAATAACGATCTAGACTGAACATACAGTTCATCTCATTCTAACTATATTAATGTGCACTTATTTATTGTAATTTTGTTGTTTTAACAGTGCAGTGAAAGCTCTTGCATGTTTTTTTAATCTCCTTATGTTATAACAAATTATTTATGATATCTTGCTTTTTTTCCCCCTCCCCCAAATCAGCTCTCTATTGATGATCATGTCTTTGATCCCAGGTTAGTGAAGGCAGGAGGTGGAGACGCAGAGGGCTGGACGCGCCTGTTCTTAGCTGTGCTTGTGCAGGAGAGCAGAGCCGAGAGCTGTGSCGGGGGCGAGAGGCAGCCCCAGCTTTGCGTGCAGTCACACACGTAAGTTCCACCACTTTAAGACTACGATARCAGAGGAACAACTACCTGAAGTTTTGTAAAGTTTGTTTAGCACAAAAAATAGTCAGAAAGGGAAATAGAAACAAAGGCTAATAGCACACAAGAGTGAGCCATCATTCTAGGCCTGCTCTTACTAATTATTTTCCTTAATCGCTTCCCTAAAAGCAGGCTATAAATGATTTTAATAGCAATAATAACAACCTGAGTTGTATGAGAAATAATTGAACAACAGAAATGAAATCAAGTACCAAGTAAGGTATTTCTTTTTCCCTATCAGAGGAAATGTTGCTGTGACACACCTGTGAAAAATACCATCAAAATCTGAGAGTCTTCTGGCTACCCACTAATGCCAGAATASAAGATGCTGGTGTCTACCTGGGGTAATACGCACAGATTCCAGACAATTAAAAGCAAAACATGTATTAACAGCRACTGTTAACAGGAAAACAAAGAATTTTGTATTCCAAGGGGAGCAAGGAATAGCTTTACAGATTCTGATCTATTCCCTARGAGCTTAGTCCTTAGGGAAAGTGATGGCACTAGTAGAGGGCAGTTACTGRGGCATCAGTAAAATGCAAGTATGCAGCATGGGCACAGTCTGATGCCAGGAAAAGAGGGAATGGTGTTTTACCAAGTCCAGGAAGAAAACAGTCAGGAAATAGCCAAGGAGAAGCAGCAAAATCTGTTCATTTCAAAATGGCTACACATGTCYGTTTTCTCATATCATAAAACATTACTGTGATACAAAACTGGAAAGTAGTTGGATTTCCAGGATGTATTCTTTTAACATCAAACTAAACTATTTGTATGGTGACATTGCTATCTGGAYCTCCTCAGTGTTTTGCTATTTAAAAAATGACATTGTGGTGGCATTTAATAAGAAGTTGCTTTTTTTTTTTAGATGTGTGTGTGTGTGTATATATGAGAGAGCATGCACACGCACCAAACACAGCCAAAACTACTGGCATAAAGTCTACCAATTCTATATTAAAATGCAGGTAGAAACACAATTTGAAAAACAGGTTTTAATCAGTTAATGTAATTAAGATCAATARGGACTCTATAGAGGATTTAATTCAGAGGCCTTATTAACAAAAGTCTTTATTAACAAGTTCAAATAGATGTTTCAAAGTTCCATGGAACTTGAACACAGAACACAAAAATATATTAGGAAAAAAGTAAACAGCAGCAAGAAGAAAGTAAATTTACACTGGAGAAACTTTTCTTTCCTCTTCTATTTTTGATCTATACTACACCCAYGAGTGCCAAGTTCAGCTAGCCCTTTAGATGCGATAACTTTAGGGTTTGTTGCCACACTTTTTGTTGTATTGTGAGTCTTATAAATTCCAATTAATCTGTCTGCCATCTCAAACATGTTGTTTCGCAGCGAGATGACGATAAATTGTGCATTTTTTGTTTGCTCCTGAAACAGAAATTATTTGTGTTAGTTCACAGTATTTCAAAAAGCTTTTCTCTCATATGATCCCTATATTCAGATCTTGGAAATCACAGATACATAAATAGTTCCTTTCCACCTACAGGGTATACACATACATAGATCTATATGTATGTTAATATATAAAATAAAAATATTTTATTATATGCAGGTTATACCTAAGTCTGAAAGTGCTGGTCACGCAGACTTCCTCGTGGCTGCAGGCAGGGCTGGCACAGCACATGGCTATCACTGTGAAGCACTGCCAGGAACTTATGCCTGGGCTTTTCCACCCCGCCACCCACTCTACTTGAGAGAACTAAACATACACATGTTCAATTAAACATACACATATGTAAGATGGGTTATGTTAGTGTAGTTACCAGAATTATTTTAACAACAGTTACTTTGAGAAGGAAGAGGAAACCAAGCCTATTTCCATGCGCTGAGTGCAGGGGAAAGGAAATGCTCTGCAAAAGAGCACAGGCCTTGAAGGACACCAGTTTGTGACCTGCAGCAGAATGGTAACTACCAACAAAACATCCAGTGTTGGTGCTACTTGAAAAATAAACACCACTTGAGCCTTAACTCCAGCAATAACAGTGCAAGTTCTCAAACGTCCTGAGCCCCACAGGGCTCGTGGGATCCTTAAGACAGGGGAACAATGGGAGCTGCCCCAGGAGCTCTGGCTCTCACAGCAGAGCTGCAGCTGGGAGCCACAGGTTGAAATTAAACTCTTCACTCTATCAAATCATGTGTGGGCTTTTGGAC